CCACACACACACACACACACACACACACACACACACACACACACATCCACCCACCCACCCCCAGAAGAGGGAGTGCAGGATGGCTGAGGGCTCTTTACTGTCCCTGCTGTGTCAGGCTGTAGCATTGAAATGGCCTGAAGACTCTCCAGTCCACTCCACCTTGCAAGTGGGAAAAGGACAGGTAAGTGTGCTACACTGACACAGCTGGGCACCAGTTGGTTTTATGGAAGCAACATCCACATGTGTTTGTGCCAAGAACCTGACACTCTGCTTTTAGGGTTTTATAAAGGTGCAATTTCCACACCCTGAAGGGTGTGTCAGAAGACTAGAGGGACAGAGAGGAGGCCAGCATCTTGACTCAATTCTGGACTTGTACTTGTCTAGCTCAATAGCAAGGCTATATTGAGTAGCAGAATTAATGGGCAAGAGGGAACCGCTGATACAGACACAAAGGATCACAGCTGAGGAGCAATGTGCTTGATGAAGAGCAGTTTGCAGTTTGAGAACCACAGACCATAGCTTCAGAGACCCAGCCAACCATGGAATTGTGTACAGGAAAGAGGAGTGGCCAGAAGGAAGACGTAGGAAAATCTATGTGCACACGCTAGGGAGATAACCCTAATCTACAGAAACCTCCCAGCAATTGTGGAAGTGGACCTGCTCAGAGCCTCTGACCCATCCACACCCACACCAATCGTCAACAGAGACAGTGATTGATGCCCAGTGACAGGGTTTTGCTTTTTTTATATTTATAAACAAAACCAACCTCCCCCCAGTAACTCCCGAACAAACAAAAAAACAGATTAAATAAAATGTACAGTGAATACACCCAGCAAACATCTGTGTGTGCAATTGAATACTGTGTCTGTTACTGTGGCACAAACCCCAAACAAACAATACACAGTGTTCTGGGGATGGGGGTCCCAAGTTTTAACTCTGTGGGGCTTGGGGAGACAAGATGGGGAAGTGAGAGAATGGGGAAATCAATTTACTTTTCTTAATTCTGTCCATATAAATATATTCATGAAGACCAGAGAGGAGGGAGACTGGATGGTGAGGAAATGGGAGAAGAGGAGAGTGTGGGACCCTTTCAATTCTACTTGACCAAAAAATATGACAGAAATTAATTCCATGGTGGGAGAAGATAAAAAATGGCAGAAGAGGGTGGGAAGGAGGGAAACAGAGGGGGACCAACAGGGAAAAAAGGGACCCATGGCAAGGGAGTGGAAAGGAGTTCCGTGCCGGTGTGAGAATTTGTTTCTCTCTTCAGCCATAAGGTGGTAGACTCCGGCCCAGCTCTGCCTCGGCCCCCACTCCTACTGTGCCAGCCCCCCTCCCCCATTTATTGGGAGCTGGCTCGCTCCAGGATCCTCAGGTCGTAGTTCTTTTTGGCCACTCGAAGTTTGAAGCGACTCACAGAGTTGTTGAGGCGAAGGGAGGCATTCTGGGCAGCCAAGGGGCTGGGGAACACGGCCACTATAGTGTACAAGGCAGCGAGGTCCGAGTGTCGGCCATTCTCAGCAGTCCCACTGTTGTCCCCGCCACCTGCACCAGGCAGCCCCTGAGCATCCTTGAGCCACTGGATCTTGGCACCAGACATGGCGAGCTGGGTGAAGAGTTTGTCTGCCTCTGTGCGAGTGATTCCTTCAGGGAGGTCTGTCACCTCCAGCACCCTCCCCAGCACTGGAAGGGGAGGAGAGATGAAGGGTGTGAGACACCAGGCACTATATGGTGGCCTGGCAGAGTCACTGACCAAGCCTGACAACAAAAGCCCTACCTCTCCCATTTAACCTCCCCAAATCAACCCAACTTATCCCCATAGAGACGGGGCGAGGGGGAGTGGGGGGGGGCAATCCAGAAAGATTTATATCTCTAGCCCAGAGATATAAATAAGAGGGACTGAGGATTAAAATTTTGAGTTTCTGATCTGGGTGTCTACAACTCCACTCCTTCACAGGGTGTCAACAGCTGTATAAGGTGGAGTCCGGAAGACCTTGTATGCCTAGCATGGAAGGCCTGAGGGAGAAAGCTTCTCTCCCATGCTCTCCACCAACCCCCAAATCAGGTCTAGACCAAAAGGAGATGTCCTAGATTAGGAGACTGCTTACCAAGAGACGTAGCCACTCCCATCATGGTGCTATAACAAATGTCTATGATGGTCTACCTCAGGACCCTGGATGGCTTGCTCAGGGACAGATACGTCACTTCTCTACCTTCTGCTTGTTTATAAGCAAAGACAACTCCATTTCCCCCACTCCACCCCAGCTTCCCCACTACACTGGGATGGCAATGAAGGGCATTTCCTCCTGGGGTCGAGAGTCCAGCTACTCACCGACATCTGCTGTCCCCAGGTCAGTGGAGGCAGATTTGAGTGCCTGTCTCTTGGCTCGGTTTCCGTGCTTCAATCCACTCTGTCCCTTTAACATCCCAAGTGAATAACATTTACTGCCTTGTGTCCCAGTGTCTACCCTAGAAGCTGAGGTAGCTGCACTCCCCACTGAGAAACAGCACTCTACCCTGAGGGCCCTGCCTCACCACATAGTTAGATTTCCCTGGGAGTGGTAACTGAGACATAAAATCTCTCCAACTCCCACTGAGGTGGGAGTCATGAGCATAGGAATGGGGTAAAACTCTTTTTTTGCTGTGCCCATTCGGTGTTTTTTCCTGTGTCTACCCTGCTGGTTGAAGCAGATGGCTCATAGACAGGGGACCATATGAGAAGGGGAATCTGGTGGCCCCAAGACTGATGGTGACATACTCACCTGGTGCACCGTGTAAGTCGACTGGCCATGGAGCAAGGGAGGGCAGATGGACAGATTGTACTGTAATGGCTGACCCAACAGGGAGTATCGCCCATCACCTAGGGGGAAGAACGGGTGTTTTAGGAGCTTGAGCTTCACAGTATGTCCATTATGAGACTTCCAGAGGCTTTGGAGAAAGCAACAATACACACTGCTCCTACCTTTTCTATGATGGGAGTATCTATACAACTAATTTAAGAGTTGTACTACTGCCAGGCAGTGGTGGTGGTGGCGGCGGCACATGTCTTTAATCCCAGTACTTGGGAGGCAGTGGCAGGTGGGTCTCTGTGAGTTCAAGGCCAGCCTAGTCTCAGAGCAAGTTACAGGATAGCCAGAGCTGTTACCCAGAGAAACCCTATCTTGAAAAACCAAAAGCTGTACTCCTATGTGTTGGCATACACCTTTAATCCCACCACTTGGTAGAGGCAGGCAGATCTCTGTGGGTTCATGGTCAGCCTGGTCTACATTGACAGTTCCAGGACAGTCATAGCTACATAGTAAGATCCTGCCTCAGAACAACAAAATAAAACAAAACATACAAAGAGCTGTGTCTCTTCCTAAACTCTTAGCAGGACTATTAGATCCCTCCACCTTGAGTTCTGCCCATCACAGACCCTATGTAAATGGCCAGGGAAGAGTTGTGTGTAATGGTAAATGCCTATTATTCCACCACTTGGGAGACGGGGGCCAGCCTGGCCTGAGAGTTGGTCTCAAGAAGAGGGAAATGACTGAGGAAGAACCCTGAGCTTTACAAGTGTCTTTCATCTCCTCTGTGGGTTTCTGACTCATGAGAGATGCAATGCAGAGTGGTGGACAATTGGATACACACTTAGAGCTTGATGCCAGGCTCCTTATACACTGACTCTATGACAAGAAATGCAATGCTGAGGAATTCCTCTCTTTGGCGATGTTGGACAGCTCACTGAACATGGTATGTAAAGCACTGTTGCAATGCCTGGGACATACTAAGTATTGTGTAGCTTACTATTCACAAAATGATTTATTTTAGAGCACTTTAAAAATTTTAAACATCTATCTCATTTTTAGATTACTTGTGATAGCCAAACCAAAAGCAACAAGACTATTTCCATCTTATACATGTTTACTCCATTTTACAGATGAGAAAATTAAGATCTATGTCTAAGTTTCAGAACTTGTTCAACATCACAAAGCTAGTTTGTACTGAAACTCGAACCAAATTGAAATTCAGTGTTCACATTCTTCTTGGAGCTGGAGAGACGGCTCACAGTTAGGAGCACTTACTGTTCCTGCAGGGGACCTGCGCTGATTCTCAGCACGTACATCATTTAAAGATTTCCCCTCTCCCAAGAGTTTCTCTGTGTAACAGCTCTGGCTGTCCTGGAACTCACTTTTCAGATCAGGCTGGCCTTGAGCTCACAGCTCTGCCTCCTGAGGCAAGCCCAGCTAAAAAAAAATCTTAACTAGACAAACCCCACACTGTTCTGACACAGCCTCACACTCGTGGCTCTCTGGTCCAGTACTGATGCTGGTCTGAGCTCTTCTGTTCAGTGGAAAGTTGAATGAGCTTCTTTCCTCTCTTTTTAGGGAACTTGATAGTAAACACCAAGTGTGTACAAGAGGCTGGAGCAAGCCACTCGGGTGTCAGAGGCAGTGCCAGAAGGAGGAGTCTGGGTGTCCTCTGCCTTAGCGGGTGTCAGAGGCAGTACCAACTCTACTCTCCCGCCCCTGCTACTATTGTCTAATCTCCCTCCTTGGAATGGAATGTGAATGCTGAGCTCCACAGCAGCCCACCTTGATCTAAGTCCCTACCCTGTGCAGGACCCCCAGGCCGGGGGAATGGCGTGAGGACAGGCAGGGGACCGAGTCCAGTGCAGACGTTGCTGAGGCTGGTGACAGGAGAGGGTGCTGGAGACTGGGTAGGAGATGTGACGGGGCTGCTGCCCATTTGTGCATTGGCCTGTGAAAGAGAAGAGCACGTGTCACCCTTGGTGTGTCCCATGACATCCAGTTCACCACTCTCAAGCAACAAGGAGTCTTGTGAGAACTGCCCTTGTCAGAGTGCTGCTCCAAACTGCCCTCTTGTTCCCTGATTTATGTTACTGTTTACTGTTCCTAACTCCAGCACTCTTGATCAAATGTAGGTCTTCACCTGTGCTAGGCAAGCACCTGCCTGACAGCCCACGTTTGTATTCTCTCTCTCTCTCTCTCTCTCTCTCTCTCTCTCTCTCTCTCCCTCCCTCCCTCCCTCTCTCTCTCTCTCTGTTTCCTGAGACAGGGTTTCTCTGTGGCTTTGGAGCCTATCCTGGAACTAACTCTTGTAGACCAGGCTGGTCTTGAACTCACAGAGAGCCTCTTGCCTCTGCCTCCCGAGTGCTGGGATTAAAAGCGTGTGCCACCAACGCCTGGCCCACGTTTATATTCTTAGTACCCCATTTTTGATAAACTATTTCCTTGTTTTGTCTGTGCAGGAGGCACTTGGAGAAACAAGACTTATTAAACATGAGCATGTTTCTTCAAAGGAAGAAAATGTCTGACGTTTGGTCACCTGAAAGGCTGGAGTGGATGCTGTCTGACGGCTTGGTGCCCCTTTGTATTCTATGGAGCCAGCTTCCTGGATGCCCCAGTATCTATCTTAGCACTGTTTAGGCCCTTATCCTGCACTCTGTCTCTCAGTGACAAGAACCCGTCCTCACACTCATTACAAATCTTTCCTCAAGTCCTTGCCCTGAGCAGCTCATCATCAGCCAACAGACCTCATTCTTACTGTAAAGGTCACAGGTACTTCGCTACTTTGCCAGGTAGTTTCTATGTAGCTATGCCTAAAGCTCTGTTGTGATAACTGTCATTCAGAAATCTTATCCCTAAGTTTTACTGTGGTTAAATGTGTAAAAAAAAATAAACCCTGTGGTCAAACTCTGGAACTTTTGACCTAGCGCTTGAAAAAGAGGTTCTGACTTGAGTTTCTTCACCTCGCTTAGACTGTTTCCTTGCAAGCTGTGAGGTGTCCCTGACATGTATGTACATGTTTGTATATGAACATGTATATATGGACATTTGTGAAGGCTAGAGGTCAATTTTGAGTATTCTTTTTTTTTTTTTTTTTTTTTTTTTTTGAAGGGGTTTTTTTTTTTTTTTTAAATTTTTAACAGGGATCCCCCTGCCTCTGTGCCCTGAGTGCTGTGATGGGATCAAAGGCCTGCACTACCATTGCCCAGCTTGGGTACTGTCCTTTAGATATTACCTACCCTAGCACAGAACTTTTTATGCACTAGGCACTGATCTACTACTGAGCAATGTTCACCCTTGGATCCTCCATTTTAAATATGCTCTAAGCATGGTCTGGTGTGTTCTATCTCCTCTCTTAGATAATTAGGCTCCTGGAAAGAGGATACACTTTGTTATTCTCATTCAGAGGCACCGTAAAGGTGGCTTCCTCCTGAGGGGAATCTGGGCCTTCCTTACAAGGGTTAGAGGACTTACCTGGGGGCCACCATCAGGATTGTACAGGTCTCCAGGCTTCTGACCTCGTTGGTCCACATTGTAGTATTTGCAGTGACTCCACTGGACCATGGATGGATTCTGAGGGGCCTGGGGCCCATTAGGGACATTCAGTTGCATGACCACCACACCTGGTCCAGAAGGTGACACTCCTGAGTGCATAAAGAAAACAGTTGTTGGGAATTCAAACTATTTAGAAGTAAAATTATCTTTGAATAGAAAAGCCAGCAACAAACCCACCCACTTGTTTCAGGGCCATTCTAACTGTGTCCTGCCAGGGAGCTGAGACAGCTGCTGATCTGGCCTTGAACTCTCTCTCCCCAACCAGTGAAATTTGAGTGGAAGAAAGACTAGTCCAGATGCCAATATTCTCCTCCCTTCATCTATCTGGTGGGGCATTTTGTTATGAGTGGCAGAAAAAAATACTCCATTCTGTCAAACTTGAGTATTACCGAATACCCAGGTCAGATTGCTGAAATGTCTGGGGCATGGGCCAGGGCTGCAGATATGTGCAGGTTTTCGGGTAAGGACTGGGGGTGAACCAGCAAAGTCTAACTGACTTGGAGAAGATGAAAGTTCATAGCTTCACCAAGCCAACTTACAAAGTACTTTTGGTCACCAGCTGGTGACGTAAGGGAACAGATCCAAGCATAGTTTGGAGGCATGAGGTGCTGCAGGAAAAAAAAACTACTAAGAAGCTTAGTCAACAAGCATTTATTGAACATTTGCTATATGTTAGTCCTTACACTGGACACTGAGCACACAAGGAACAAGTCTGGTCCCTGTCCTCCTAGAAAGAACAGTCTAATAGCAACTCAGACATTAAGCAAAGAGTGGAGAGCTGAGTCTGACATGCACTCTGGAAGGATACCTGGACTCTACCCTGGAGATGCTGGGAGAGGACCAATGAGTGCTTTGTAGAGCTCACCTCATACCTGCACTGGATAGGAGTGATGAAGGGTCTAGGATAGGAAAACTGAAACGGGAGGTTCTGAGTGAGAGCAGCCAGAAGGATGATGGCAGGGTCAGAACCTTATGAAGGCTACACTAGCAGACTCCAGGGCTCTAATGACAAGGTGGAGGAGGGAAAGGTCCAGTCTTCTTTGTGGTAAAAAGAAGGTAAAGAGTCAGGGGGAAGCAGCTTGATGGACAGTTCCCACTGGGAGGAATAGGTAGGGCTCTGGTTCTACACAGGGGATTATACAGTGTGACAGATTATTTTTGACCTTCCAGCTGTATTCTTGCTGGGGCTGAGCTGGCATGTATGATGGTAGAGAAATGGGATTACTGGGATTACTAGCTCAGAAGCTACAATGCTGATCTTTTCATGGTTTGGTACTTCAAGGCTGCTATTGCTACTATGATGGGAAATGCTATGGCCTCTGGGTACCAGCCATGCTGGGAGTACTTACTCAGGTAGTATTGGTCATAGGAAAGTAAAAGGAAAGACAGGAGGCCTCAGAGAGCAGTTCAGGAGACACAGAAGCTACTTGGTCCGATTCTCTGGCCCATGTGTGTACCCCACCCTCTAGGGTTTATTAAATCAGATAGCACAAACTTAGTTCAATAGGCTTGTATCTTCCTATTGTCTACACCAAAGGGGGCAGGGTATTCACGAATGTGGCTTGCAGAGGGCCATGTGAAAACCACACAGTTGTGGTGTGTTATGCATTCATAACCGCTCTCCCCTTACTACAGTTGCTCTGGGCACCTTGTTTCCCCATCCTATCAGCCCTATGCACTCCAACACCCTTCAGCAACAACACTGCAACTGACCTCATTCAAACTCCTCATGGCTTCTCGAGGGGCCAGCACACACACACACATACACACACACACACACACACACACACACACACATACACACACACACACACACACTTTTTGAAGGCAGCTCATAATCAGAGCCTAGCCCTGGGCTAGGAGAAGTGGGGCATAGGAAGGACAGAGGAAGCACCTCCTAATACCAACACACAGATATAAGGAGCTACTGGACTCAAGGCGAGGAAGAAAAAGAACAAAGTCCTTGTATTATTGTCTCTGGTTCCAGCAACAACAATGAAATAAACCCAGGAGTCTTAGTTTGCAGCCTGTGCTCTGAACTCTCCACACTCAATCCTCCCCCGCTGGCCTGGAGCACTGTTCCTTCACTCAACCGAGGACACCGAGCACTACTCAAGTGATGAGCTGGTTTTTATGCTTTTCTTCCTCGAGCCAAAAGCAGGTGGCATCTGTTAACTGCTGAACTGTCCCCACTTCTTAATGGACATGGCAAATAAAAAAAAAAAAAAAAAATCACTGCTCAGTGATAGTACCTCCTTATCACCAGGCTAAGGAAGGAGCTGGGCTGAGAGCGGCTGGAGAGGGAAAAGGGGACTGAATAAGGAAATCAATTTCAGCTTGAGAGCTAAGGAAGGAGAGGGGACGTGTGAATGGCTTTTTAAGTGGCATCATTAAACCTGGGCAGAAAGGTCGATTGGGCAGAGCAAACCACATAAATACAAGCAAATGACATTTATGTCTGGCAGAATTGGTTTTCACTTTTTGTTTAGTTTTTTTTTTTTTTTTTTTTTTTTTTTTTTTTTTTTTTTTTTTTTTTTTTTTTTTTTGATTACTGAGAGAAAACTGAAAACTGACAGGGCTTCTTCCGAATCTATGAAAAAGAAATGAAGCCAAAATTACTGGACAGAAATCAGTATTTTGGCTCCCCCACACCAACCCCCATTTTGGCAAGCAAGAGGGAGATCCTTCTGAAATGAGCACACTCTCAGCTTTGCAAACCCTTAGAAATGAGCCAGTGGGTATGGGAAGCTATTTCTGTGTGCACTCCAGTGTCCACGCTGTGGTGTCACTGGGAGTCGAGAGCCGTTTATCGGTATCACTGCTATTTCATGTTTGTGTGCATCTTCCCCAAACAAATCCCCATATAAACCTCAGGGGGGTCTGAGAGCCATCGTTTCAGTGGGAGACAAAGTGTTTCCTGGAGTTACAATCATATCTAGCATCACAGTGGCAGAATTAACGTTCAGGCCTGGAGGTGAACTGGGCAATTACAAAAAGGTATTAATAAACCTCAACAGTTGTTCCAGGAACAGCCAATCCTAATCCCTGCCTTTATTTTTGGAAAAGTGACCATGTTGCTACATGAGAGGAGGGCGGGTTGACAGTTGACTATCCTCTGAAGGTGAAAGGGTGGTTTTTGTAGACTATTCCTGTCCACTTAACAGTAACTGGAAAAGAAAGCATAAGAAACACTTGTTTCTTTTTAAAATTTCCATAATTCCCATGAGAAGGTATTAACAATTTTAAGTATTAATTGTTGAGTGAACATCGTCTCTTAGCAATAGCAGGACAGAGGGCTTCACCATCTGGGAAGGGTATAAGTATTGTCAGAAGTTTAGAATCAGTCTAGAGAAGAAATGAGCTACAACTGGGGAAATTCCAAAGCAGCCAGGAAAACAGGTGATGGAGACGGTTTCCTTTTTTCCCTAACTTGGAGAGTCCAGACTCCTTCCTTCTCCACCTGAGCCTAGATCTCCAATGTTGCTGGTCTCCAGAACAAGAGATGCTTTAGTTGGTTTGGCACTAGGTCAAGTGAGTAACACAAAATTATTTTCTATTTATTTTTTTATCCAAAGATACTTTATATTTGAACAACAGATACCAGAGACCAAAGAGATATACTGACATACCGTGAATGATGTCAACAACACACACACAAGCGTATTCTCACACACATACACACACTGGTCCTACTAATCATGAAGGAGAGAAAATTCCCTGTGGTACCCAGCACCAATATAGTAAACAGTACACGATAATTTTTGGAGCTAGTTTCTACAATTCCCACTGAGAATTTCAGACAGTAAGAAGCAGCTGGAGAACCCCGCTCAGGTAATTAAAGGGGATGAATTTAAAACCTTAGCTTTCAAGCCAGGCGTTGGTGGCACACGCCTTTAATCCCAGCACTCGGGAGGCAGAGGCAGGTGGATCTCTGTGAGTTCCAGGCCAGCCTGGTCTCCAGAGAGAATGCCAGGATAGGCTCCAAAGCTACACAGAGAAACCCTGTCTCGAAAAACAAAAAACAAAAAAACAACAACAACAAAAAAAACCCAAAAACAAAACAAAAAAAATTAGCTTTCAGGAGATCCATGTTTGGTCTGGATGATACCAGAGGTCATATCACTTTGAAGGTGACAAAGATCATGTCTTATGAGCAACAGTAATTCTGTAATTCTCCAAAACATCTAGCTGTGAGAATGCAAAAAACCTTAGGTGTGAGTACTTCATTTTAAGGGAAAATCAGCCAAATGGCTCACCCTCACCAGAAGAGGGTGCGCAGATGTCCCCAAGCTAAGTGGAATGGTGATGGCTGGAGGGTAAATCACAATTCAGAAATCCAGTATCAGAAACAGGGAGGAAAGAAAAAGATTCCTTCTCCAAAGCCCTGAAGTTTCTGTAGCTGTACTGTATAGAGGTGTTAGGAAAGGCTGAGAGGGAAGCAAACAAGGGCAATCATCACCCTTGGGATGCTGGAGGGCAGAAGGCAGACCTACAGCTGTTTAGCATAAAGCCCATTTAGTTCCTGGATAGAAAAGGATAGAGCACAAAGCCTCCTGGGAATCTGTTACTGAAGATGACGCTTATAGGGCACCACGTCAAAATGACCTATGTCCCAGTCCCAGGACTATGATGGCCTCTGGTAAGACATTCACCAGAGCCTTACATTTTCTTATAGATTGTGGTCAGAATAAGAACATCACAGTGGCCTGGCAGTGGTGGCCCATGCCTTTAAGCCCAGCTCTGGTTCTACAGAGAGATTTCCAGGACAGCCAGGGCTAAGCCTGCCTCAAAACACCAAACCAAACCAAACCAAGACAAACAAACAAAATCATATGTATGTGGATACACACCAAATCTGCTAAACACATCTATGATGTTTTAAAAAGCATTTCTCAATTTTTTTCACTTTCCCAAGAGAAAAAGCTATCTAAAGCTAAATGAGTGCAGGACAGGGAGGAGTTTACACAGCGATTGCATGGTGAAAGCTGCCACACATGTACATGTGCACTCAGACAACCGGAGAACAAAGGACCAGCATGTAGTCAGACCCATCATTTTTCTGTATTACCTTCTGAGTGTCAGGGTCGAGGCATGCATTCCACACTCACATCAAGACTTAGCTTTGTGATGAGGTCACAGCTCACCTCTGAATCCACTGCTGTACAATGTAAGCCTTCAGTAGTGTGTGAACCTGCCAGTGCCCAAGCCCTCCCCGGATGCCTTACCCTCTTACCTGAGTACTGCTGTGGTACCTGTGGTGGGCTGCAGGGAGACGGAGACTGAGGCATCTGGTACTGCTCAGAGCCAGGAGGCTGCAGAAACCCCACAGAAGGGCTGGGACATGAGAAGAAAGGAGGGTGAAGGGACGGAGGGAGAAACATGGCTGCTGGCAGACAGCTGCTGCTTCCTGGGCCTCCCCTGTGGGAAGCAGCAGCAGCTACAAGCCATTTCCCAGACCAATTTGCCATGCAATTTCTAAAATCACTCATCAGTTCAAACTTAATTATATATATTTGTACTTGATCATCTTTCAATTAGGAAGCTGCTAATCAATGTTAAATATAGGATGCTAGCAGCTCATGCTCTTCTCAACAGTATGGACCACCAAACACATACATGTGTGTACACACACAGAGGTCTTACAAACAAGCATGGACCACCAAACACATACATGTGTGTACACACACAGAGGTCTTACAAATAAGTATGGAACATGAAACACATGTATGTGTGTACACACACAGAGGTTTTACAAACAAGCATGGAACATGAAACATACATGTGTGTACCCACACAGATGTTTTACAAACAAGTATGGAACATGAAACACATACATGTGTTTACACACATCTTACAAACATGAGGTACTAAACAAGCCGGGGTCAGAACCACGTGTTGGGAAGAAAGGGGTAAAACAAGTCAGGGAGAATGACTGAGAGTGTACACACAGTGGTGAACACTGGGAGTCACCTGAAGACAAACAGGAGAAAGACAACATGGAGATAAACACATAAAAAGACAGATAAACACAGACTGGAGATAGACACACAGAAATACATGCAATTCTACTTCAGCTGCATATCTATCCAGCTGTGTGGCTTTGGGTAGGTTTGTTAAGATTCCTACTTGACTCTCATCTAGTTAATTAATTAATTAACTAATTTATTTTTGTTTTGTTGAGGCAGGGTTTCTCTGTGTAACAGTCCTGACTGTCCTGGGACTTTCTCTGTAGACGAGCCTGGCCTGGAACTCACTGAGATCCATTTGTGATCAACTAGAGATGGGAGGCAAAGGCAGGGGATCTCTGAGTTGGAGGCCAGCCTAGTCTACAGCATGAGACCTTGTCAGGAAAAACCAAAAGAACAAACAAAAAAGGAAACACAGAAAGAAAACAAATAAAGGTAGCAGACTAGATTATTTCTAAGATGTCCCTTCTAACTGCTATGATCTGTCCTCTCAATACAATTATAAACAACTGTAAGTATGCTGTAACAGTGGCTCTTTTAACGATGACCAGTCCCTATCTCACAGCTCTGAGTCCGGCTGATCGAATAACAAGACAGGGGACATTCTAATCTGTGTCTGGGAAGCAGGCAGTCTCTGCTGCTGCTCTCTATAAATACCAAACCCATGAGGAGGAAAGGAGAGCCACCCTCCCACACATACTTCTGACACTGGATTCACCAGGTAGTCTAGGTTGGCTTTCAAGCTGTGACCCTAATGCTTCAGCCTCCCAAGGGCTGGACTGCATGTGTGCCATGTGCTAGGATACTGACAGCTGCTGAAGGTGAGCGGGAAAGGTGTCCCGGCTGTTCGGCAGTCCTCACCTCGTGCCATTCTGCTGAGCTGGTGTGATCATGCTGTAGTACACGGGTACACCTCCTGCTGGGAGGCCCCCTTGCACAGACTGGCTGGCAGGGACCAGCATGGGCTGCTGGAAAGGCGGCTGGACCACACTCTGTGAGTCACTGCCCACTGGGACCTGGGTGAACAAGAGCACGACTAGGGGTCAACTTACCGAGCTCACCCACAGGCTGCTCTTCACCAGCCCAACACAAGTCCCTTCTCATTTTCAGGAGTCTCTTTCAGTACTCCTCCTCTAACCAAAGCAAATGCTCATAGAGCCACTTCACACACCACCTCAGACATCAGACATGAGGAGAGAGCGCAGATCTCCTCTGGACTACTTCTTGCACACGCTCCTTATGTGACTATGAAAAGCACAGTTTAAAGACTATTCTCAACTCTTTGGGTTTGCTTTGAAAAGAAAACATCCCTAGAAGTTCTAGGGGAAAAGGTGTTATCTCAGTGTTGGAATCTTAAGTCTGATGACCCCGAGAGGCTGTCCTTTTCAGTTCACAAGGACTGGGTGACCTTTCCTAACACAGAGTACACCCACTTGGTATGAAGGCAGTGGAGTGTACTGAACCACGAGGCCTTGCATCTGGCCTCCCATGCTGCTCCTCTGGTTGCTGAGTAGGCCCTGGTTCTGAGGCTGCTGGACCCCAAGCATGCCTTGGTAAGCCGTCTGCTGCTGGTTAGGCATCATGGGCTGTAAACCTAAGAACGGATGAGGCACAAAAGACATCAGTTAAGTGTTTAGGAGGTCATCCCACAGATCTAACTGCCTTTCCTTCTATACTCTTACCTGACCTCTTCCTTAGAAATCTAGTTGTTCCTACTCCCCTCCTCCCTCCCGCTCTTGACTCCCTGGTCTGCTCTTCCGTTGGGCACCACTGTCTCACGCCAGCACTTCTACTTACCAGGCTGCTGAGATGGCTGAGGCAGCTGCTGACCACGCTGGGGGCTATAGGCCACCGGGTGAGAGAGAGGTCGATATTGCTGGTTGGAATTAGGATATTGTCCAGGGGGGTAGTAAGAAACCTGGATCTTTAAGGGTCAGAGGAAATAGATGTGAGAGATCTCCTTAAGTCAGCCATAACATCTGCAAATTACCAGGACTGATAACCAGAAATTTGGAAATGGAGGTATTTTGGGTTCACAACTATAGGGTGACTATACAAGTTTGAAATAAATCAAGTCTTGTACAGAAAGAAGATCTTCTGGCAGAACGGTAACTGTCCAAGTATACAATGGAGATAACATTCTTTCTGGTCTGTCTAAACTAGAGGAAGAAAGGGTTGTAATACTGGACAAACTGAAGCAGTGACGAAAAGCTAGGGAAAGGGGCTGCTTACCTGTTGAGGGGGTGGCATGTAGCCTTGGGGTGGTAGGACTTGCTGAGTAGGTGGTGCATGGCTAGAGGTGGAATAGTTGGAAGAAGGGAGGGGCTGTCCTGCAGAAGCCATGATGAAGCTAGTTTGCTGAGGATGCTGGGAAATAAGTGGGGGCTGGAACAGAGCTGAGGATGGGTCAGCTGCTTCCGTAGAACCTTGGCGGCTAAGGCTCATTTGTCCAAAGGGGTTGCTGAGGTCATCTGCCTATTGAGAGAGTAGGGAACTTAAGGACTGAAGTGGTGTCAGCCTCATGCATTTGGCTTCAATACAGAAAGACAGACAAGCCGAGTGTGGTGGCACATGCTTGTAATCTCAGCACTTAGGAATCAGAGGTTGGAGGCTCATCAGTTCAAAATTAGCTTCAGCTACATGCTAAGTTCTAGGCTAATCTCAGCAATACAGGCCTTGTCTCAAATATATTAGTAACTAAAACTGAGAACAGAAAGACAGAAATTGCATTATTATACAGCAGTGGTTCTCAACCTTCCTAACACTGTGGCCCTTTAGTACAGTTCCTTATGTTGTGGTGACCTCCAACCATAAAATTATTTCGTTGCTACTTCATAACTGTAATTTGCTACTGTTATGAATCACAATGCAAATATCTGTGTTTTCTGATGGTCTTCGGTGAAAGGGTCAATGGACCCATTTGTGACAGTCCTGCTTCGAGGAGTGACAGTTTTAAATGGAACAGCTGTGTAAACCTAAGTTCAGAAGCAGTTATCTCTACAGAATGATGACAAGGGCTTCCCTGATTACAACTGTCACTGAGGTTATTTCTCAGGAGATGGGGGCACAGGGCACAGCTTCTACCTACCTATAGGAATACAGGACAAACACAAGAACCTGTCTTGTTTCCTGTATAACTCATGCTTCTACCTTGCTATAAACCTTGTCTTTATAAAAGCATCTGAAACACCTGCACAGACTATGAGCGGGAAGGCTCCTGCGCCTCCCTCCACAGCCGAGAACTAACTGCTGGGCTCACACCTGCTGCTTGCCTCTGTGCTCCCTTCTGAGGTTATTCCCACCTTGGTTCTTTGACACTAGCCTAGAGTTCTCCTGCCCTTCAGAAACCACTTCCAATTCTCACCTCCGAAAGGAGGCCAGGGAGGGAAGGGAGGCTCAAGCAGAGGAGACTGACTGGCGGTGCTGTAATTGCCTTTCTCCCAGCTGTCTTCCCTACGGACAAGTGATGCTGTGCCATCTCTCACTGGCATGTGGCAAGATAGTTTCTTAGCTCTCTGGTCTGTTTTACTCTCTGAACAGTAACTCACATACAAACACATATACACACATAGAGCAGTTCTTTTGCAAAATACTGGAAACCAAAAGAAAATGCTGCCGTCTTGCTTCATTCAATTTTTAGGGAACTGTTGCTACCTTATTCGTCAGGAATAGATGACAAGAGACTAGACTGCAGATTAATTTGAGGCCCATATTCCAGCACTTTCAGAATGGAGGTAGAGGTAGGAGGAAAAGGGGTTCTAGTGAAAAAGCAGAGGTGTAAGCAACATAAGTAGAAAATGTTAGGGTTCAGCACCACCATCGAGTTATCAACTATGAGGCTAATCAGACTTGCAGAGGGTTTGTATTGAGGATGAAAGCAATTTATTTTATTTATTTTTGGTATTTTTGAAACAGGATATTTTTCTAGCCCAGGCTGGACTAGGATTCACTATGTAGCCTAGGCCAGCCTTGCACTCAGGGAAATCCTTCTGTCTTATAGTCTTAAGTGCTGAGATTGAAGGTCTGTGTACTACATTCACTTACAATGTAGATGGTGTGCACTGTGCATCTAACACAGTGAGATGGACAGAACTTAACCTTTTCACACCAAGTACATGAGAAGTCTGCAACGAAAGGAAGTCAGAGAGAGCAGCTCTGCATAGAATAAACTGGGAACAAATGAACTGAAGGGTACATATGATAGAGATGAGGGTGAGGGCAGTTATATTACTTCCTGGTGCTCAGAGGAGTTCAGCATCCCCGTCATACATTCACTTATCTTCTGGGACACTGTGATGAGGCCATCAGGTTGGAATTCAATCTGTTGGAGTTCAGCCTATGTTGGTCCCTCAAGAAACAGCTTTCAACATCTCTTCCAAAAGCACAACACATTTGCAAGACCACCAAAGACTGACCCAGACACTTCACAGACACAGACCACACAGGGACAAGACGAAAGGGGGAGTGGAATTTATACCATGTTGTACTGCTGGGGCGGAGAGACTGGCAGAAGGACCTGGGGACAGGAGCTTGGAGAGAACGGAGCAGGCTGCGGAGAGGGCTGTGGCCAGCACAGAAGCGTGTAGAAGGAAGAGAAAAGGGGGAGGGAGAGTCGGAGGAGCAGAGATGGGGAGGGGAAAGGAGAGGAACAGCAAGGTTAATCATAGAAGACAGTTCATATGAGTCACATGACCACTGAGCAGGCCTGGCCCCTAAGCTGGGGATAGCTTGTGGCTTTTGCATCTCTCTCTCCTATCACAAGAGATCCAGTGTACTCTCTGCCCCATTAGCCACTCAAACTGTGCAGCTCTTGGAGTAATCTCAGGACTCTCAGGGCCAAGGTCTGTGACCTGATTCCAAACAAAACTTTCCTGAATGCCCACTTGAGGGATTCCTGTGCACAATGCTTTGGTAGGAAGGGTCATTCAAGGGCAGTTCTCTTGGAGGAAGTGCTCATCCACAAACACATCTTCCTCAAGAGGGAAGAAAAGGAATAAACACTCAGTAGATCCTGGACCCCAGCTACCTCATGATCCTTCCGGCTCTGAGAGCAATATGAAAAATGCCTTCATGAACAAATAGGATAAAATATAGCCAGATTAGTTGTGGTTTTTAATCCTTCAATCCCTTCACTAGCCTTAGGCAGGAGAATCTGTTTACCAATAACATGCAATGATCTAAATCAACTAATTATATTTTCCTCATTTGGATTATCTCATCAATTCTTTAGTTACAGCCACTGGTGGAGGAGGGAAGAGAGAGGGAGCAAGCGTAATGAAAAAGAGGGAAATAACATTTACAAACTGTGTCACAATGGCCTTACAAAAGTACCTAGAGACATGACAGTTTGTAATTCCAACAGTCAAAATAAGAGTCAACCTGGCAGTGCAGGGGTGTGAGGAGTGTCTTCCTGGCAGTGCAGGGATGTGAGGAGTGTCTGCCTGGCAGTGCAGGGGTGTGAGGAGTGTCTTCCTGGCAGTGCAGGGATGTGAGGAGTGTCTGCCTGGCAGTGCAGGGGTGTGAGGAGTGTCTGCCTGGCAGTGCAGGGGTGTGAGGAGTGTCTGCCTGGCAGTGCAGGGGTGTGAGGAGTGTCTGCCTGGCAGTGCAGGGGTGTGAGGAGTGTCTGCCTGGCAGTGCAGGGGTGTGAGGAGTGTCTGCCTGGCAGTGCAGGGGTGTGAGGAGTGTCTGCCTGGCAGTGCAGGGGTGTGAGGAGTGTCTGCCTGGCAGTGCAGGGGTGTGAGGAGTGTCTGCCTGGCAGTGCAGGTATGTGAGGAGTGTCTGCCTGGCAGTGCAGGGGTGTGAGGAGTGTCTGCCTGGCAGTGCAGGGGTCTGAGGAGTGTCTGTCTGGCAGTATAAGGCTCTTGTCCCACCCTAGGCAACATCCCCACCTGTAAAAATCAGGCTCAGAGTAACCAAATGTCTCACCTAAATGACAGAACATGGTTTGAATCCCCAGTTCTTTTTTTGTTTGTTTTTCATGATACAGTTCTTCTGTGTAGCTCTGGCTGCACTTGAACTCAGAGATCCACCTGCCTCTGCTTCCTAAGTGCTGAGATCAAGGCATGCACTACTATGTTGAAAGCCAGTTCTTCAGGACATGTGTTCATACCAGTTTATACTAGGAGTGTGGAGAAGGGTAAAGGAAAAGGGAATTAGAAGACTACTCAAAGGGGACTGGAGGTCTTAGCAGAGGATCTGACAACTAGATGTTTAAAGTTGCTGAGAATCCCAAATGACCTGGAGAGGAATGCTGCTATAGCCTGGAAAATTAATTCAGCCCTACTGGCAATCCTTGTTTCCTTTTTTTTTTTTTTTTTAAAGATTTTATTTATTTATTATGTATACAACATTCTGCTTCCATGTATATCTGCACACCAGAAGAGGGCACCAGATCTCCTTACAGATGGTTGTGAGCCACCATGTGGTTGCTGGGAATTGAACTCAGGACCTCTGGAAGAGCAGCCAGTGTTCTTAACCTCTGAGCCATCTCTGCAGCCCACAATTCTTGTTTTCTATAAGCCAATGATATTTCAAATATAACTGCTGGCCAAGCTGTCAAACATTAGCTACAAATGCTGGTGGTTCCTATAACATTGTCTATCATCCTCACCTGTGGTTCAGGCCTTATGAACAGTGAAGTGGTAAAAACAACTATTGTTTTCCACACACTATTTTTTTTTTTTTTTTTGGTTGTTTGAGGCAGGGTTTCCCTGTGGCTTTGGAGCCTGACCTGGAATTTGCTCTTGTAGACCAGGCTGGTCTCAAACTCACAGAGATCCGCCTGCCTCTGCCTCTGCCTCCTGAGTGCTGGGATTAAAGGCGTGTGCCACCAACGCCCAGCAGTTTTCCACACACTTATGAGCTTTAGATGGAGACTAAGCGGGCAGTGGTGGCCAACACCTTAATCCCAGCACTGGGGAGGCAGAGGCAGAGGCAGGTAGATCTCTGAGAGTTGGAGGTCAGCCGGTCTACAGAGGGAGTTCCAGAACAGTCGGGTTAAGGGGGAGAGAAGGGAGGTGGGGAGGATGGTGGTGCTCTTCTGGTTCCCTTAACTAGGAAGGGCCATAATAAAGGAAAGGCCTCAGCACTGGTATTTTAAGTGTGGGGATATTTTGCCTGCATACATGCCTGTGTACCACTTGTGTTCCTAATGCCCATGGGGACCAGAAGAGGGTACCTGTTCCCCTGGAACGAGAATTGCAGATGGTTATGAGCCACCATGTAGACTATAGGAGCGGAACCTGTAAGACCAGCCAGTGAGCCAGTGTCCTCTACTGCTGAACCATCTCTCCAGCCCTGCAAAGTTTTGGCTTTGGTTATTCTACTATTATCTTCTTCGATAGTCTCAGACCTCAGAACCAGGACATCTGCTGCCACCTACTGGTGATTCTGGGACACAAGAATAGCTCTAGCATGTCTTAAGACACACTAGCCACAGGGTTAAAGGGCTCCTTTCCAATATGCAGCCTAAATCAACTGAACAAAACATGGCCACTGAGCCTTTATACCCTTAGCCTCACTCCCTGGTGTCACCTGCTTAACTGACATATGTGATGCAGGTCTGCTTCGATAGAGGGAGCCTCCCAAGAGAGCCCCTGGGCCAGGGTTAAAGTTTTCTCAAAGGTTTATAACACAGTGGCATGGGCTGTCAGACCTTCTTCATTTCTTCACCATTACATTATCTGAGGAACCAAACAACTCCTCAGTCCCACAGTGCTGACAGCCATTAGGACGACACACAAAGGAAGGGAGGAAGGAAATAAGGAAGAAAAGGGCCTCAGGTGTGCAGTCTGGCACCACAGGAGAAAGGGAGAAAAACAGTAAGAGCGAGGAAGTGGGAAGAAAGGGACAGAAAGGGGGGGGGGCAAATGTTATATGGTGGTATACGTAAGTTTGGTAGCTACCACATATAATTATGGGACACTGCACCTTACCCAGGGTAAGATTCTCTTGGGACTATGTGATCACAATTACCCTCGAGAGTGTCTGCCTGAGAGAACAGAGGCTTCTGTACCAAGCAGTACAGATCTAACCGTAATCCACAGCACTGATCCACACTCTACACCAACAATTTATCCCCTGAACTGCAGAGTGCAGGAGCAGGGTAGGACTCTCGAGCCTATCACTTATATACTCCAAAATAATAGTCCCAAATGGTTACTCTTCTCTTTATGCCTCCTCCATTCTTTCTGTTTGTTTGTTTGTTTTTGTTTTTCGAGACAGGGTTTCTCTCTGGCTTTTGGAGGCTTTCCTGGAACTCACTCTTGTAGACCAGGCTGGTCTCTAACTCACAGAGATCTGCCTGCCTCTGCCTCCCGAGTGCTGGGATCAAAGGCATGAGCCACCACCACCCGGCCCCCCTTCTCTATTTTTAGGTGTGGATGGCAGGTAGAAGGAAAAGACAAAAGACTAAGAGGGAGAAAAAGGAGCTCCTTAGCGGAGCCTAGGCTAACATAAAGAGGATGAAATGGGGCAGATGGTGGGTCATCCTGGGGTCTTCCTTCCTGAGTTTCCTGCATGGTTACTAGGTTGGGAACTGACATTTGTATCTACAGAGGAGCTATATAACATATCTAAGGCCATGCTGAACTAAGCAGGGGAACAGAGGAGCCTGGCAGGTAAAATAACTTACAATGGTAGCAGAAGGGGGCTGGAGAGATGGCTCAGCGGTTAAGAGCACTGACTGCTCTTCCAGAGGACCCTGGTTCAATTTGCAGCACCCACATGGCAGCTCACAGCTGTCTGTAACCAACTCCAGTTCCTGGGGGCCCCGGCACCCATGGCAAAACACCAATGCACATAAAATAAAAATTAATAAAAGAAAATGGTAGCAGAAGAGTATAGACAAAAGGGCTACCGACTACTAGAGAGCATCTGAGGGTAAAACGTGAGGGTCTAGTCATGAAGAGCTCTACTTTATAACACAGCAAGTGGCTACTCAGAATTTTTTTTTTAATAGGTGAGAAGAATATTAAGATTCCAGCTCAGAGAGGACCTGGCTCTCAAGCTAATGGCTTTTCATAGTCTACATAGAAGCACAGTGCTTCTCAGACCCTGGTTAACACCAACATCAACCAGGGCTTCATTACGTCGTCACTTTGGCTGCCCTGGAACTCACTATGCAGAACAGGCTGGCTTTGAAAGCAAACAGATCTGACTGATTCTACCTGGGATGAAAGGTGTGAGCCACTACTCCCAGTGAAGAAGATATGACTCTTTTAATGGCCAGTCAAACAGACAAGTTTTGGGGTCTTTATGTCTTTAAGGAAGGTCTTACTCTGTAGCTCATGCTAGCCTCAAACTCACTATGTAGCCCTGTCTGTCTTCAAGCCTTGTTCCTACTACGTCAGCCTCCCCGGTACTGGAATTATAGCGTGTGGCATGCCAGCTGTCTGGTCTTCATCTTCTATGGTAATGCGTTGTGGGGTCTTGAGTGTTATTCCTGTGTTTATGGATCAACACATCCAGTCAGACTATGGGTGGGAGGACTGGGGCGGTGATTGTTTCTAGTTCCATACATAGGAACAGTGAGCAAAATCGCCTTGTTAATCACACAGGACTTAAAGGTACAGTAGAAACATGGTGTGGAGTGTAAGATTAACAATTCTCAGCAAAAACAGGGATAAACTGTCAGGCGCCAACCCATGGAATCTTAGCACTCGGGAGGCAGGGGCAGATGGACCTCATAAGAAAGAGGCAGAGATGTAAATGGAGTTCTCAGGCTAGCCAAGTGTGACAGCACAGCACACACCTGTCACTCCAACACCTAGCAAGTGGAGGATAACATGGAGCTGAGGCTGCCCCAGCCTTCAACTTTAAGGCTAGTGTAGGCTTCATGACAGTTGTTTCAACAGAACAAAACTTTGGCCAAACATTTTACCTTAATCCTTTCTCTCAACAACTAACAATAAATGGGCCAGGTGGTGGTGATCCAGGCCTTTAATCCCAACACTCAGGAGGCAGAGGCAGGTGAATCTCTGTGAGTTTCAGGACAGCCTGGTCTACAGAGCAAGTTCGAGAACAGCTAGGGCTACACAGAGGAAACCCTCTTTCAAAAAACCAAAAATAAAACAAGCAAGCAATAAATGGTAGACTACTTCCAAACAGATCCTTTCTCTGTCCATACAAGAAAGACAAGATGACCTCATTTCTAAAGCTTCCCTGAATCAGAGCAAACACTTGAGTAGTGACTCACCTGTGAAATCATGTGATTATTCAGGGGTGTCGGTTGTTGAGGAGTGGGTGGGAGAGCAGGAAGCTGCTGCTGCTGCTGCTGCTGCTGCTGCTGCTGCTGCTGGGCAGTACAAGGGAGAAGGCCGCGGACAGACTGGGGTGAGGTGGCCTGGTTGCACACTTCTGGGGCACCTAGTGCCATACCTAAGGCAAAGAGAAGACCCACCCAGAGTTGTAGGTACAAACCATGAATATAACTATTCCTGACGGGCCCAGCTGCAGGATTTTACTTTTTCCTTGCCCTTTATTGTCACTTCTTTCTGCTCACTCCTCTCACCCCCATTTATCCAACCATCTATGCAAGGGTACAGATGCAGTGCAGTTTCTCTGCTGATAGGAGCCCATCGCTTGGGAGGTTTCTGCTCCCTAGAGGCAGGAACCACCTTGAATGTCAATGTTTGGTTTGGGAATTGAACAAGATGTTCTACAGGGAGAGGCAGGCAGGTTTCTGAGAGTCTGAGGCTTGCCTAGTGTACACAGTAAGTTCCAGGACAGTCAGAGCTACATAGAGACCTGTCTCCACCCCCAAAACAAAAACAACAATGGCAACAAAAACATAAAAACAAAACTCCCTACAAATGTGAAGCTGTTGTGGCATCTCTCCTGACGTGCCTAAAATCAATCTGTGTATCGTAATAGGCAGATGAAAATCTGGAGCTTCCAAGATCCCCTGGTCCCTTACGGGACCAGACCTTGTGTTCTCCTCAACCTGTATAATACTATCTCTTACAAAGCTGATGAGAAAGCAACTTGCTTTTTCTAGCAACCATAGTCACACATATGTACAACCTTTACCCAACAGATTTTCCCATTTTCAGGCTCCTTAAGGCATTTTTATATTCACACACATTTTTTTTAAATAAAGAGAAAAAAGGTTTATTCTGGCTCAATATGCAACATACTTTACAGGATATACATTAAATATGAGGAATTATGGAATGAACTAATATATGGCCTTTTGAAAAGCACAGGACTTGCTGATGGGATAGCCATACATATCCAACTATTAAAATCTGGTAAGAGCCAGGCAGTGGTGGTCCAGGCCTTTAATCCCAGCACTCAGGAGGCAGGAACAGGTAGATCTCTGTGAGTTTGAGGCCAGCCTGGTCTACAGAGTGAGTTCCAGGACAGCCAGGGCCACACAGAGAAACCCCATCTCAGAAAACAAACAAATAAATAAATAAGATCTGGTAAGAAAAAAGAATGAGCCAGGCGTTGGTGGCACACACCTTTAGTCCCAGCTCTCGGGAGGCAGAGGCAGGCGGATCTCTGTGAGTTCAAGGCCAGCCTGGTCTCCAGAGTGAGTGCCAGGATAGGGCTCCAAAGCTACACAGAGAAACCCTGTCCCGAAAAAAAAAAAAAAAAACAAAAAAAAAAAAGGAAAAAAAAAGAAAAGAAAGAAAAAAGAATGAATTGGTGGTACTGTCACCAAGGTTGAGTGACAGCAAAGATGAGGAACAAGGAAACAACAATTACTCAGAAGGTCAAGGAAGAGAAGGTGAGAGAAGAGAAAGCTAGTGTCATACTCATGAAACGGCTGGAGAGCTGGGGAAGGACAGACATTTGAAAATGAAGCTATGATGGCAAACTAGCAGATTATACTTATTAAATAGCTTGAGTTTAATCATCATTTTCTTCTTTTTGAAACAGTATCTCACTATGTACTTCTGGCTGGCCTGCACTCGTGTAAACTAGGTTGGCCTTGAACTCACAGAGATCCCCTGCCTCAGCCTCCCAGGCTGCCATCATGCCCTGCTTTTTGTGTAGGTGATGTAGCAACATAAGCTTTATGTGTGTCTGTGTCCAAGGTCATCAAAAGCGTTACTTTCAAGAGCCTCTCACCTTGTTGCAAGGATTTGTTGATTCAGCTAGGCTGGTTGGTCAGTGAGCCTGGGGAATCCTCCTGTCTCTGCCTTCCCAGTGCTGGGATTGTAAGCACACACCTTCATGCTTGGCTTTTTTGTTTTTTAGTTTGTTTTTTGAGTCAGGGTTTCTCTGTGTAGTGTCCTGGAACTCACTCTGTAGACCAGGTTGGCCTTGAACTCACAGAGATCTGCTTGCCTCTGCCTCCTAAGTGCTGGGATTAACGGCGTGCGCCACCACTGCCCGGCTATTGTGAACATTTTTAGAAGGGGACTGAAGTGGGTAGATCTGTATTTTAGATCAGTGCATTTGCTCTGAAAATGGGTGGGAACTAACCCTACAATGTAATAAAACGCAGGCCTAGCTGGGAGAGGCGGTGGCATTAGGAAAGGGCTAACAAAGAGGACAGGGAGGTCTAACAGAAGAACAGGCTTCACCACTACTCGAGTCTACTGAAGACAAGGCCTACTGGTCTTCTGGATGGGATTCAAGAAGTGCTTCCTAAGGACGAAGTCAACTGCACACGAGAGCTAACAGCCCTATTAAGACCATTTTTTTTTTCCTAGTGACTAAATTCCAATTAAAGCAGCCGCAGCAGGGTTTTTCTAAGTTCTGCCATGTTGGCTACTACGAATTAGTTACAAACAGTTACACTTTATACTCTCAGGGGGGACAGAATCAAAGTACCTGTCATTTATATCTTACCATGTAACCTGGCCCTGAGCTAATAATCTTTCTCAGTTGTGCCACACTAAAATAAACCCCAAATAGCCTTTCTTCCCTCCTTTCTAAAAAACAACAGAAAATCTGAAAGAAAATCAAAGAGGCAACTAGATTTAAGAATGGGTAATGTAATGGATCCAAGAAATCAGGTTTCTCCAATTCTGGTAATGCCATAAATTTCCAGAAAACTATACTGAACCTGATGTTTCATCAATGTGAGTTATTAATGATACTGTGCAAAACACCAGCAACAAGGGCCAGGTGTGGCAAGGAAGAGAAGCTGTATTACCTGGCCGAGAGATCCTTCCTGCGCTGCCACCTTTACTGCTGTCACCTCGGGTGAGGATGGAGATGCCACTGAAGCTGCTGGCTTTGGTGACAGGAGGGCGCATACTCCGGACAGACCCATCTGAGTCTGTGCTGCTCCAAGGCCGTGGCTCCAGGGATCTGAGTTCACTGTCTGTGCTGCTCTGTCGGCTGCTTGAGGTGCGGCTCAACCCTTCACGGTTCCCCCTGCAGAAACCACAGTGGTCAGAGCACCCCCCACCCCCCACTTGAGCAGGAGAGCCAAGAGAGTTCATTTTTTATTCTTTTGCTAACAAAGGGAGAGGGGCGTGGACACTGACTGCTTGTTAGCTGGGTAGCCAACTAAGATTTGATGGGAGCAGACACAACAAGGTCCAGCCTAGTAACAAAGAGCACAGAGGCAAATCTGAAAGACAGCGCACTGACAGCTAATTGAACACTGTGGATCCAAGGCAGATGGGAGCCACATATATGATCCTGACACTGATTGTGGTGGCTTCTTTCCCACGCCTGCAGGAATCTCACAGAACACAGGGCAGCAGTGGGGTAGTGTCGACTTCTGGGACTCCTAGAAGTTCTACTGTTAGTAGAAGGTAGGAGTGGCCAGGGACATGGGTAAATCCCATAAAGGATCTCCCACACAGCATGCACCTGAGCTAGCAGATGTACTTCATGAGAATATCTTCCAGGGGTTAGAAGATGACAGGGAATAGTCCTACTGTCCCAGTTATTTCCTCAAGTTCCATGCTGGTATTTGAGGACAACAGATTCCACAGCCACTAAGGACTGAAGTTGTCAGGATGATCAAATATATGCTTTGGACTTGGTAGAAAGGGGCAGAGGCTTGGCTGTGCCTAACTGCCCTGGGCAAGGCACAAAGCTACTGAGAAAAGGATCTTACTACTCTACAACATCAGGCTTATCCTGCCATAAAAGCATCACCTGTGATTAAAAACAGCAGTATGCCACAAGGTAGACATTTTTGGCCTAAAAACTTTTGTCTTGTCTTTTAAAAGATTATGTATTTAAACGTGTATGTTTTGCTTGTATAAATGCATGTGTATCACGTGTGTGACTGGTGTGCAGAAGGCCTGAAGAGGGCATCAGATCCCCTGGAACTGGAGTTATGTAAGTCAGTGCTCTTAACCACTCTCTCCAGCCCCTGTATCGTGTGTGTGTGTGTGTGTGTGTGTGTGTGTGTGTGTCTATGTGTCCACAAAGTCCTGGAACTGGAGTTATGTAAGTCAGTGCTCTTAACCACTCTCTCCAGCCCCTGTATCGTGTGTGTGTGTGTGTGTGTGTGTGTGTGTGTGTGTCTATGTGTGCACAAAGGCCTGAGCAAAGGGCATATGTCCACAAGTGTATAGAAGCCAAGAACAGAAGAAAGAATCCCCTGGCAGGCGGTTGTGAACCAAAAGTATGGGTGCTTGGAATCTCAACTCCAGTCCTCTGGAAGAACATCTCTTCAGCCCCAATTTCACTCTTGAGTGTTAAAGGGTGTGTGTGCGCGTGTGCATACCAGAAGTAACATATCAGTTATCTTTTTGAAATGTTTTCATTTACACCCACCCCCCCACCCCCCCACCCCCGGGGCAGGGTTTCTCTGTGGCTGTCCTGGAACTCACTCTGTAGACCAGGCTGTTCTCTAACTCACAGAGATCAGCCTGCTTCTGCCTCCCTGGAATTAAAGGTGTGCGCCAACACAGCCCAGCCTCATTATTATATTTTATTCATTTATTTTGTGTACATGTATGTATGTAGGTCAGATGACAGCTTGCAGGTGTGGTTCTCTTCTTCCACCATGTGGATCCCAGGGATCAAACGCAAGTTGTCAGGCTTGGTGGCAGGCATCTTTACTTGCTGAGTCATCTCACCAGCCTTCCACCTTATTTTTTGGGGGAAGATGGGGGCAGCGGTTCTTACTGAATCAATTAGGCTGCTGGCCAATGAGCTCCATGGATGTTCCTGTCTCCCTTGCCCATCCAGTTCTTCCATGGGTACGGGGATCTGAACTCAGGTCTTTATGATGATACAGTAGAAAGTTACAGACTGAGCCAACCCCTCAGACCTTCTATGAGCACTTCTGCTTCTCATAAAAAGCATGAGTCTGAGATTCCCTTCATTCCACTTTCACCTAACATCTACAACATGAGGGGATTGAGCAACAACAGTAAGTGTGTGTGTGTGTGTGTGTGTGTGTGTGTGTGTGTGTGTGTGTAAGTAACTAGACAAAATATCACAGTAGTTTAGGTTCCCTTCTTTTTTACCATTATCCCACCAAAACCAAACAGAAAATGTTGCCCCAGTCACCTTAGCAGGAAAGGCCCTTTGGCTCAGTTATTCTGAGAAAACAAGCTTTCTTTTTCCCTTTCCCCCCCTTTCCTTCCTTCCCTCCCTCCCTTACTCTTTTCCCTTAGACAGTATCCCATCATCCTGCCCAGGCTGCCATGGAACTTGAAATACTTTTGCTTCTGTCTCACAAATGCTGGTACTGCAGGTATGTGCCATGAGTGGCTTAAGGACACCCTAACCCTAACCATGCTATCCATGGAGAACTAAGAACATACTGGCAAAACTTCTTCTTTTTCTTTTCCAAGGCAGGGTTTCTCTGTGTGGCTTTGGAGCCTATCCTGGCACTTGCTCTGTAGACCAGGCTGGCCTCCAACTCACAGAGATCTGCCTGCCTCTGCCTCCCAAGTGCTGGGACTAAAGGCGTGCACCACCAACACCCGGCCAATTCTTCTTTACTATCCTAAGTGTATATAATCTCATGCTTCTCTCTTTAGAATAAGGGATCATTTTCCCAAAACTTGACCTTTTTTCTTCAGATGCCAAGAGCAAAAAGGGAAACAAACATAAATCAGAGATTGTTCAAAAAAAGAGAACCAGGCTTGGAGCAAGAGCCAGCAGCTCTGTCTCAGCCAGGATATTGAAGACCATCAATGTGTGTCAGTGCATAGCAGCAGTGCCAATGGATAAGGCTGCACATTAGACACTGGAGCACGAATTTTGTTGGCCTTTTCCACCTAAAACACCTATTATGTATTATACTAACCCTGTCATTTATGTTCTCTTGATACCCTGACTAGACAGCAAATGAGGCAACCTTAAACTAAGTATCTTAGCAAGTTAGGGCTGGGACTTCGGTACTCGTGGTACCTAACCAGGTTCCCCAAGGCAGAGACAGTCAAATGCTCAAAATGTGGACTGTCTGTTAATATAGTATTCCCTTGAGAGAGAATCTAGAGAGAAAATACAGCAGTTTCCTTGTCCATAATCATCTCACTACAAACAGGGCAATTTGGGAGAGCCACTTCAATTCAATTCTGAGGGATGGACTGGGTTGTCTGCATGTTAGAGGGATGGGGTAGGGATAAAGAATGCTCGATCATATACCACACTCTGAATAAAATCAGAGCTAAAGTAGACTAGTTTAGTTAGCCCTAACCTCTGTCACCGATTCAAGATGGGGTGTGTGTGGCCCAAGCTAGCCTCAAGCCTGGTATGTAGCCAAGGATGATTTTGAACTTCTGACCCTTCTGTCTCTACCTCCTCAGTGCTGGGTGTGCACGACACTACACCCAGCTCATGTGGTATCAAGGATCAAATTTAGGGCTTCCTAAATTTCAGGCAAGAAGTACCAACTGAGCTTCACCCCCAACTTCTCTTAGTTTTAAAGTAGATTTAATTTAGTTTTGTAGGAAGAAGTCCAGTTTCTTGGGTCTGAGAAGTCGGGGAGGTGTAGCAGAGGCAGCATTCAATAAAACACAATAAGCCTCACATGTAGCTTATTAATCAATGGAGTTAGAACTTCCAAAGAACTGGGAAGTTGCCATAGTTATTGCCAGTGTGGATGGTAAAATTTGGTACAGTATATATTTTCAAAAACTTGAACTGGGACAGAAATGTAGGTGGTAGTTACAATAGAAGGCTTTACCAGTAAGACTTGTGGACTATGCTCCAAAACAGGGTAATATGTTACCCCATGACCCAGCATTTCAAATTACATCCCTTTTTTTTTCTTTTTTGAGACAAGGTATTATGTAGCCCAAGCTGGCCTCAAACTATCTATGTAGACAAGAATGCTCTTGAACTTTCATTCCTCTTGCCCCCAACTCCTACATGCTGGGATTAAATGTGTTAAAGGTGTGTGCTACTATTTCCTCCTTCATGTGGTGATGGTGACTGAACCCAGGTCCTCTATACACTAGGCAAGTTCTTTGTCAGGGAAGCCACATTCCTAGCACCTAACCTAGGATTTTTTTGTTGTTGTTGTTTTGTTTTGTTTTGTTTTTTGAGAGAAGGTTTCTCTGTAGCTTTGGAGTCTGTCCTGGAACTCACTCTGTAGACCAGGCTGGCCTTGAACTCATAGAGATTCGCCTGCCTTGGCCTCCCGAGTACTGGGATTAAAGGTATGCACCACCACTGCTGGGTCTAACCTAGGTTAAAAAAAAAATTCTCCGTTCTTAAACCTTTGCATCATCCTTTTAACTTATTTGTTTATTTATATGAGGCAGGGTCTCACTGTAGCCTTAGCTATCCTAGACTTGCTATGCAGACCATGCTGGCCTTGACCTTGTAAAGATCCTCCTGACTCTACCTCCGCCCAAGTGCTGGGATCAACAGTGTGTGCTCCCTTGCCCAGGCGTTTATTTGTATTTTGAAGTGGGTACATATGTGGGTGTCAGCACAGGGGTATGCACACACAATGCAGGTGCCCATTGAGGCCAGAAGCAGGTATCAGGTTCCCACAAAGTTAGAAACAGGCAGTTGTGAGCCACTTGATATCAGTGCTGGAAACTAAACTCAGGGTCCTCTCCAATATCAGTATGTGCTCGTAACTGCTGAGCTGTTTCTCTAGCCCTAATTTTATTTGTTAATTTTTACATTTATTTATTTGTGTGTGTATATAAATGTCGGAGGACAACCCACAGAAGCTGACTTTCTCCTTCTGCCAGGTGAATCCTGGGGGCTGAACTCAGGCCACCAGGGTGGGCAGCAGCTGCATTTACCAGCTGAGTCATCTCACTGGTCTTTACCTAGGAGTTTAATCAAAACTCAGTTTGAGTTTTCAGCTTGAAGAAAAGATCTGCAGAGGTGAGGTCTGCACCTGCTCACCAGATTCACAAGCTATTATCTGCACAGTTTGATGCAGCCTGATGCTCACAGGAGAGCATCGTGAATGCCAGTTAGGGCTTCAAACAGACCACATGTTTGGGAGGAGGAAGAGATGTTAGGAAAGAGCTGGTGTAGGCAAGGAAAAGAACACTGAACAAAAATCAGCCTCAGTTTTGACACAGCCAAGTACATGAGGGCTGGCTATTTCCTTTCTATGCTTTTGTTTCCATTGATGTAAACCAGCTGCCCAGGACAAGAGAAACAGGTAAGATACATTTTGGCAACTACAAAGCACTGTCCACAAACAGGAGTAAGCTAAAACTACTTATTATAGGTAGTCTGGGATGATCACAACCGTAAAATATGGAGCAGAATTTTCATTTTTTTTTTAATGTGAGAACTTTACATATCTTTGGTACCATCAACAATTCAAAGCTTCACTCTGCCTCTGGTTTTCAGATGGATCTCAGGGTGGCACTGTCTAGAAATAAAAAAGATCAGAGGGGCTGCAGAGATGCTCTGTGGGCTAAGAGCACCAGCTGCTCTCCCAAAGGACCTATATTTGATTCCCAGGACTCACATGGCGGCTCACAACTATCTGTAACTTGTTTCAGGGAAATCTGATGCTCTCTTCTGGCCTCTGTGGGCACTGCATGTACGTGGTACATAGATACACATGCATGCAAAATACCCATACACATAAAATAAATCTTAAAAAAAAAAAAGTTCAGAAATGTGGAAACTCTTTATCTCAAGGGTGTTTTAATCTCTTTCTTCTTCCTTCTCTTCTTTTTAAGATTTATTTTTACTTTTGTGTATGTGTGTGTACTTTCTGTGTGGGAAGGTTCACACGAGTGAAAGTGGATGTAAGTACTTGTGGAGGTCAGAGGTCATCCAGTCCCTTGGAGATGGAGTTACAAGAGCTTGTCCGCCACCTGCTGTGAGTACTGAGAAGCAGTCTCAGGTCTTCTGAAAGAGTGCCACACACTGGTAACCACTGAGCATCTCAGTCTAACTAGCTTTAGAATGGGCAATAAGGAGAGGACAGCTAAAGCTTTAGAAATGAGACCTATGTCCTGAGTTTTCTATGATACTTAGTCTTTAAAAAGTGGAGAAACCCCTTTGGAAAGGGCTAGCCCTGAATCACAGGCTTAGCTTCTTATTCTTTCTAAAGTCATCTATACCTCATATTGTCTCAAAGTGAGACTTTGGGGAGACAGAGAGATTCATATATGTATCTGTATATGTACATATATTATCTTCCCTAGAGATAAAAATATTCCCTGTTCTAGGTTCAGATATCAGTTGTTCACACCTTTCCACAGATGAGCAAAAGCAGTCAGCAGATACTCATTCTTTTACCTTACGATACGTCTATGTTTGAATCTTTTAAAAATGTCCAATTCCAGCCAATTTGTCTCAGACAAAACTAGTTGTTCCTCAACACCATCTATTCAGGACTCAATGAATCTGACAACAATAAAGTTACTAAGAAGGAGACTTTTCCCCCCCAAAGGGGAAAAAAAATCCAGCGAAGCAAAATCCACAAATTTAATTATTCCACAAGCAGCCATGCATGGAGCAAAATCATTCACTCCACTGAAAAGATTACAGCAAAACAAAACAAAAAGTAAAAAGAGATACAGATCACACACAGGTACCTAAAAATCTGCCTTCTCTTGTGAGAGCTAGAAGAAAAGGCTTCTTTGGAGAGTCTGTTGGTTAACATCAAAAACAAAACAAACAAAACAGAAATGGTATCATTATAGGGTTACAATAACCTCGCTGATAAAGCTGAATGGTAAGAGAGAACATGCAAATGGTACTAACCTGACGTCACTTAGATATCCATTCTGGCCAGTCTAGGTGAGGGAGAAAATGGAAAATAACTTATAAGAAAATAATAAGGCGTAACAGAAAAGGATGTCCATGATGCTATGAATACCCACGGTCTTCAAACCAAAGCTCTCACCCCACCAACAGGGAGAGAAGGAGCAAGGCTAGGGTAACCACTGCCTTACCCCCTGTCTGACTTCTCACTTTAATGTGAAAACACTTGGCATTTTTAGCTTTTCTGTAGTGTTTAAAATGAAGGTTGGTAAAGGGAGAATGGAGAGGAGGGAGAGAAAAGTCAGAGCCTCACTGTTTCTTTTTTTACCTCTACACGTATGAACTGTCATAACTGACATACATGTTCAAAGAAGGGAGACATGAAAAGGAAACGTCATGTTTTAGAAATTAATCTCAGTGGCTGTTCTCTTTCTGCCCTTTTCATTTGCCCAAATAAAAGGACCTAAGCCTCATTATGGGTGAGATATTGGGGAAGCAGATATTGTTTAGAGCCTAGAAAAAAATTAGGACATTAGAAGTCTGATGTAGTCCCACAGGGATCATTTTCTGACAAAGCCACTGAGCTGAGTGAAGTGAGCACTGTGGAGGACTCCCAAACCTTAGAAAAAGGCACCAAGAGCATACAGCTATTGAGCATGGTGGGCTCTGCACAGAGCAGAGACTCCATTGGGCAGCTTGCCCAAGACACAGCTCAGGCTCTAGAGAGGCTGCAGCAGCAGCATTTCCATCCGAACACCCTTCTTGGCACTTCCCATTCTGGGCCTGCCTCCTTGTCCTCACTCTACCCTCAATCATTCCCTCTGACTGGGTGGGCTCCTCTCCACATGGAATCTTTGAAGGATGGTGGGCTTTGGCCATTTCTCCTCATCTAGATCTTCTGAGATTCCCAAGGCCTCTACTACAAGAGCTAGGAAGTACTGAAAGGAAAGTGATAAATCCACAAGGATTTAACAAAGAATACATATATCAGTAGAGGCGTGAGAGACTACAAACCAGGAGGAAAAAGGAGAGAAGAGGTAACTTTGCCTTCATTATGTCTGTAGGCAGCTGTGTTCCACTGTGGTTGATAACTAGGCCCAATGTCCTAAATAAGCTTTCAGATTGCAGGGCCTGACACAGTGAGACAGTCATTTTTCCATGTGACAGTGAGGCAGAGGAGTATACAGACAGCTAGGCTGTCTGTCATTGCTGGCACTACCTAATCTGAAGAACCCAGAGCAGAGCAAGCAGAGGTAGCTTCCTTCCATCAGGTTATGGACATGGATTCTGGAGCCAGACTGTCTAACTATCAGTGTTTAGGAGGCTGTTAGCAATCTTCACTGTGTCTCATTCACAAAGAAAGAAAAGTATTTAAAACAACTTCACAGATCTGTTGTGAAGACATGACTTCACCTATATAAAATGCTAAGAACAGTGTCTAAAAGCTACTAAGTACCACATAAGCACTTCTAGTCACAATTTAGGGCCATCCTAGTCATAACCATGACATCTCTTCTCTCATCCTATCCCCCTGGTTTACGGGTGATGTACTGAACCCTGAGCAGGGATAGTTTCGAGGACAGACTTTTCTGACTCAGAATGGAAGTCTACATGATAGAAGGTAAGAAGACTGCTTCTTGAATTCTAGGCCAGAAGGCTTGTTGTGTGTCACTTTCCAGTAAGGATTCGTAAAATCACTTGGCTCTCTCTAGATAATGGAGCAGACACAGAGGAGCTCAGTCTTTAGTTGGAGACAATCAATACTTTTCTGGGTGAGGTGATGATGATAAGACACACATGTTGTTCTTTGTGTGTCTGTGTGTGATGAGAGAAGAAGAACAAGGGGTGGGGGTTGTGCATCCACATGACTTCACTTCCTTTGTTGCCAATCTGACAGACGTTTTCCTGTCTGGACCCACATGTTCTAGAGAATTCTTTATCTGTTGCCCATCTATACTCTTTCCTGAAATCCTACTATGCATCTTCTAGGCTAGTAGGCAAAGGTAACCTGGTACAGGGGTAATAAGTGCATTTGATATGGCCCACAGTTCTTAAAAATAAAGTTACCTAAACTGACCGATGCTGCCTTTTGGACCATGGAGCCATTTCTTTTCTAGGAGCAAGGTAAGAGATACAGGAAGAAGGAGACTCCCTGTTCAAGCAGTGGCTGAGGGATGGCAGCACCCTGTGCATGGGGATGAGGGACCTGCAGAGGATGACACCAGAGCAGCACTTTAACAAAGCATCCGAAACCCTAAAAACAAGCTGGCCAAACAAGATGAATGTCGAGCTTGTATGGATACCGACTCTTCTACTTAGAAGCAAAGATGTGTAGAACAGACAGTGGGAGTCTACAAGGCGAGCTGGAGGAGGGCTTGATAGGCAAGACTTAGGGCCCTTTCATCAGCTTTGCCAAAACCATTTCTTTTCAGTCTAGTCCTATTTACCAAATTCAGCCACTCCAAGTTTCGGTTCTCTTTGTATACCACACAGCAAAATGTATTTCAAAACACAAATAAAAACCAGTAGCTTCCCAATAAGCCACATTCAGGGTTAGAGGTCAAATCTGGGACTGACTGATGTTGGTTAAGAAAAAAAAAAAAAGAAAAGAAAAAGAGCCAACAACATTTATGGCGGGTTCATTCCATTCACAGTTCCAAGGTTAGAGCTACGAGCTATTATCTGACAACTCTCAGGAGCTACACTTACCTCTCGGGCAAATATTCTCTCTCGGGCCCTTTGATATTCCTCCTCTCTCTCTTCTATTGACTTGCTCCTCCTTCCATCCTGCAATGGAACTCTGATCTAGATCGATGAGCAGAATTAAGCTAGTTAAGTTCTCCTCGTACTGCAAGCTCACTGCACACCAGCAAGGAAGAGAAACCGGGAAAGTTTATAGTTGCCATCAAAAAAATGGAAAATAAATAAAATTTCCAGTCCTGGACAGGTTTCACTGGGTACATCTGACCATGCAGTTTGGGAGATCAGCTTTTCTGGATGGTGGAGGACTTGCCATCCCCCCACCCCCAAATATCAAGAACAACAACTATTTATAAGGGTTGGGTTGCTTCCCTGGAGTAATCAGGCACTGTTCAGTCAGTAAAGATCAAGAAACAACAGTTCTTTAAAGGGCAAGTAAGGGGAAGAAGGAAGCTGAAGAGGGCAAAGAAAAAAAGTGTTTAGCAAAGCTGAATGTAGAGGAGCTTCCCAGAACTAGCACATGACAGGATCCCTTCTTTTGTCACTAATGCCATGTCCCAGCAACCCAAATAAAACATGGCTTAGCAAAGAGGGTCTTGGACATTTAAATCTCAGGGGTGAAGCTAAACTCAAAGACTAGGCATTTTTCTCACCTTAATTATAGCAATTGAAGGGAGTTGAGGAGCAGAAATTACAGAAATACAGAACAAAGAGAGAGCAACACAGAAGAGAACAAGAACAAAATAGAAAGAAACACACAATGAGTACAGTGGAAAGAGGAGAGGAAGACAGGAAGGGTAGAGAAGGGAATGGAGGAGACAGAATTTTATGTTCTCTGTCAGATAGTGAGGTGACCAATAGGATGTCTAATGGGCAGATGACCACTTATAGCTAGCTACCACCTCACTTTCCATCACTGTTTTTCCTCTTGAAATGCTATTGTGAACACTCTACTGGAAGGGTGTAACAGAGAACCTTTCAATACAGTGACTGCAAATGCCAAGCGTTCTGAGTGAGCTCACTGAGCCAACGTCACCATGCTACAGACAACTCCGACCTGCAGACAGATCTGAGCTCTACAGAACCCACTTCTCTAGGCTAACACAGTTTCCAAAGGCAACCCAAGACTTGAGGAGTCTCAACTCTAATTAGATACAGTCCTCACCATTCTTTAGGACCCATACCCTACTAACTACCTTTCATCACTTCTATTACAAGAAGATAGGAGACCCTCAACCAGCTGCTCAGCCTCTAGCACTGATAAGCCAATGGCAGAGTAGGAAGCATAATGGGGCATCAAGGTGAATCCCAGCTCTGGTGACTCCTGGTAAAGTGACTTCAGGCAAGTATGGTAAGGTCTCTGAGACTCAGCATTTTTATGTAAAGTGGGGTTCATAACCCCACTTACATTGGGTTGTGGAACGGATCAAAGATGTATGTTTAAAGCAAAGCCCAGCTCAGGGAAAAATAGCAACACCGTGTTTTACTAATACCACAGCCAGAAAGCACACACAGTAACGCTACTAGGGACCAAGCTTGAAGCTGTAAGATGAAAAGTTCCCAACAGAACAGATCACCTTCCATTCCAATATGCCTCTAGGCCTGAATCCTTCCCGATCCATGGAAAGGGGTTCTGGGAAAATGTAGAGAAGGGCATCAGGATGGAAAGGCTCTTTCTTGTTTTACAAAAATGTGTCTTTTTTTGTTTTCTTTGCTTTCAATCAGACCCAGCGTGTTTGTCCACAGTAGGTAACGGCACCTTTCTTAACAGACCTCCCTTTCATATTCCAGCAAGCCAAGAGCGGTTCTGGTCTCAAGACCACGTAATATTTCAAGAAAACTAATTGTGACTCTAGAAGTGAGATATTATTAGATAGTTACTATTCCTTACTAAGACTCATTTGGCTCCACCCAACATACTCTTCAACTCTAATCCCCTCTGGAGGCCAAGCAGATGCAGGGTAGCTCTAAACTTTCTATTTAGCTGGGAAAACTAATTCTCAATCATCTGCTAAAGGGGTAGAGGTCAGAGCAGCAGTCAGACCCACCATAAATCAAGGGATAGGACAGTTTGTTAATTTCTTAGTTTCACAGGATTGTATCACAAAGGGACCTGAGTTCCCAGCACTGAAAGTCAAATAAACTCACCTTGGTAGAAGGAGGTGGGAAAAAGATTAAGGAGTTTGCCAAAAGGGATCAGAGATACCTTTATAACTGGTTAAATTAGATCATAATTTTGCCAGTTCAAGGCTAGTCCTCAGCTAGGATAAGAATGAAAATGGGATAAAGTAGCTTTTGATAGCTCTCAATGTAAATTCTATAGGTCAGGTGAGGTGTTGGGGGTGAGGGGAGACCACACTGAAATCAGCTATATCAAGGCTGACACAGGGATGGGCCTTGTTTTCTACAAATGAAATGTAGTTAGAAGTTAGTGGCAGACCATTCCCCAGCAGCCCTGAACACCATGTCTCTGGGGCTAGGAGGGCTGTGTCCAGCCCAGCAGCTGTAGTTAATCCTCAGAGAGCAAGCCAAAACCAACTCAGGATAGCAGCTCTACATTATTTTTCCATTCTAAGACATTTTCAATTTTCTCCACCCCCTCCCCCAATTCTTCTCCCTTCCCAGTTTCTCTTACTGCAATCTTTCTAAGCCCACCCTTTTACAGTCTTCACCTGGTTGTCCTCTCGGTCCATACTGGCATCATCTCTCTTGAGAATGAACCTCTGTTGAAATTCTGTGTTCTTCTCATCTTTTATGTGTTCTGAGAACCTCTGTTCAGGGCTGAGATGTGGAGAGAAATGTGGAAAGAAGGGAGGAAAAAGACCTTCATATCAGGGAGGAGGAGTTCTAGGCACAGCTCTCCCAAATCCCTCATCCTCTACTCAGGATTTTTTGTGTCAGGAATCCAAAAAGGTTTAAGTGAATCTTTTCGTGTAATCTCTTCTATCCCCCACCATCTTTTTGTGAGACAGCATCTCCTATAGTCTGGCTCTGAACTCACCTTTCTCAAGTGCTAAGACTGTAGCTCTACATCCTGCATGATGCCTGCACTTTGTGTAACAACCCTTCATTCAAAGTTGTGTCTGTCCTGTCTGAGGTGAGCAGAAGCCAGGGCCAGTGTGCTTAAGACGCCAGTTTCTCTAGTCAGGGTCTATCCTGTCTCTAAGACCTCACAGAAAGTAGGACTGATAGGTGCCCCTCCCCTCCCTGGAAGAGACATCTGGATTCAGTGTCCTCCTCTGCTATCACAGCAGGTCATCCCATGGACATGTTTCAAATCCATAAGTTTCCTTACATTCTCGTGTTGCTGGTTTTGTTGATGATGACGGCTTTCCCAGTTTGATCAACATTGTGGTCCATCCCAAAATAGGCAGCTACCCGGTGTAATAGCATCCGGTGATATGAGGTCATCTGAGGGAACTTCTTGAACTGGTTACTGAAGGGTTACCAGGGGTAAAAAGTAAGATGATAACAATAAAAGGCAACTAATTTTCCTTAACAGTGTCTACAGAATTTAAGAAGAATCAGACATACAAAAAATAGGTATTTACTCTGTGAGAACAAAAAGAGTTTCTCTCAGTATTTTGCCGATTAATTTGTCCCAGTCTCTAGTAATACTACCCGTTCCCACTCCATAACACCATTTCTTAAGGTCTTACTTCCAACCAGCCTGAATGTTGTTAGACAAAGGGAAATGGGAGAAGTAGAATACTATCTGGGACAATACCTAGCTGCTAAAAACAACATAATTTTTGGCTCAAGTTTATACAATTGATAAATACCTCACCTGCTTTTATATATATACTGTACAACCTATTCAGATTGCTTCTTCCCAGTGGCCCTGCCCGCCCATCTCTAAATGTGTATTTCATAAAAGCCGCTTACTTGTTGTCACTGATAAACTCCAGAATCTCCTGTTCCAATTTTAGCAGCATCATTCTGTCCCTGTTTAAAAAAATTCAAACAAACAAACAAACAGAAGCACAGCTCTCCTAGAGACATTAAAAGCAGGGACTGAAAACCAACTTGTTCATCACAAAAACTGAGGTCTATCCAAACACTAATAATGGCCATATCACAGAGGCTGGGGACCCTCCCTAACTGTCCTGTGTTCTGGAAACAAGAACTACTCTGCATAGCTTTCCTAATCATATACTTCCTTATCCATATTAACAGTCTAATTGTTAGCAGCATATTCATATAACACATACTTCATGCTCACAAGTCTATGCACTACTCTATACCCCACCCAGTTATACAAAGGTTTTTAAAACAGTTATGATTTTGGTTATGTAAAAGTCAACTAGCTTGTTCCTTTGGGATTTTTAACTAGTTAACATTCAAGTCTTCAAATTTCTTAATCACTGTACTCTTCTCACACAAAAATTTTCAAAACTCTTCAAAACACAGTAATCGCAATGTGAGTAACTGAATCCCTCAAAATATAAAACTCTACTTTAGAAGAATTAAGAGATGGGCATTCTATAACCTAGTAATAGAGAAATGCTGAAAAGTTGTTTGGTTGAAAGGGTCCTGTAATCCTTACTCCATTCCTTCCCCTTCCCATTAATCAGGTTATATTACCTTGGGTTCTTTTTCAGTGTATTTACAAGAAATTCATGTAGGTCTATTCCAGTGGAGTCAGTATATTCTTGGCTGGAGTCTAGAACCACCACAGCAAAAGAAATGTAAAAGAAATGAAACTGCTTGCATGATATCTAATTTCAAATAAAAGCCAGTATCTAAACAGAAATTATGAAAACAGTAATCTAGAACAAAACTTCAAGCTGTCAGCATAAAATCTTGAATGGCATTTACTGCTAGCTCTGTGACAGTTCCTATCATGGACTGGGCTGCGATAAAGCATTTGTCTAGCATGTGTAAGGTCCTATGTTCAATTTAAGAACTGCTAAAAGAGAGAGCAATCCTGGGCTGTGGAAACAGCTCAGTGGACACCCACATAAAAGCTGTCGCTGGGGACACAGAATGAGGACAGGTGGATCTGCGTAACTCACTGGCAGCCAGTTTGACTCAATCAGTTCTAGGGTCAGTGTAGACTATTAGAAAGGTGGAGTGGCTGGTCGGATGGCTCAGTGTAAAGGTGCCCACAGCTATAGCTGGTAACCTGGATTTGATTCCCAGAACTGACACACTGGAAGGAGAGGACTCACTCCTGACAGGTGTCAGGTGTCCCCTGACCTCCACATGCACATCACACACAATGAACAGAGATGTGTACAAAAGTTAAAACAAGGTAGAGGGCAACTGAGGGAGAAACCCGACTTCAACCTCTAGCCTCTCATGTACACATGCATATACCAACCTCTGCCCCAAAGCCCCAATTACAACAACAAGAAGAAGAATGGAAGAGTATGGGCTAGAGGTTACATCAATATTACACTAAAATACTACTTAACATTAATAAATATTTGCTGAATGTCCTGATCAAAATAAAGCAGGTTTTATTCTATCTAATAAAAACAAATTACAGGTAAGAGCAGTCACAGGTAAATTTTCCAAAAAAAAATCTCAGGGACTTTGTCCAATGTAGATTACTTTTTTTAATTTCAAGGTTGCTTTATTTGTCAAATATAATTTTTCAAAATAAGAAACTCTATTGTATACGTGGTAGGTACAAGTGCCATGGCACAGGTCGGAGCACAACTTTGTAGAGTCCTTTCTTCCTTGCCCCTTAAGGTAGATTGCAGGGATACAACTCAGGTTGTCAGGCTTGCATTGTAAACACTTTTACCCAGAGAACCATTTTGCTGCATCTCAAATGTGGTAATTTTTATACACTCTGTCTTCTTGCTACCAGCCCAAAAGTTTAAAGCCAAAGTCTAAGAAGTAAAAGTATATCTATGTTATAAAACATAATATATCATGGCTGGAGGTGTAGTTCAGTTGGTAGAGGGCTTATTTTAACATATATGAAATGAAGCCCTGGGTTTGATCCCTGGGACCACTTAAACTGAGCATGGTAATCCCAGTACTCAGGTGATGGAGGTAGAAGGATTAGATGTTCAATACCAGTCCAAATTATTTAAGACCCTGCCTTTAAACATACAAATCATTGTAGCTATGCCTAATCCAAAATGCAAATGTCATCTGGAAAATATGCTATTGTGATTGTTCATACCACATCTATCCCAGAGCATAAACAAAATAACTGACTACCCTGTCTTATCCTGGGTAGTGTCAATGTTGACAGAGTGGTATGTAAGGCCTGAGGCAGGCTGATTAAAGAAGTACTTAATCTAGTTATTTGCTCCCTCAAGCAACCACTTCAGCAGGAATTGCTGGGCCAGTAAAACCAGTGGGTGCCAAAGTGTCAAGATGAAAAGAAAGAACACTGCAGATTTGTAATCCTGGCCACTTAAGAAGCTGAGACAGGAGAATTCAAGGCCTGCCTAAGTTCAAAGACAGCCTGGGAAACTTGGGGAGCTTTTGTCTCAGACTAAAAAGTAAAAGATGGCTGGCGTTTAGCGCAGCGGCAGAGTGCTTGCCCAGCATGTGCAGCGCCACATTTAAGGCAGGCACAGTGGCACACACCGTAATCCCAGGACCCAGGAGGTAAAGGCAGGAAGATCATAAATTCAAGGTCATCTTCATTCACAGAGCAAGTTATAGGCCAGGCCAGGCTACACAACAGCCACCTCAGAATTTAAGAGAAAAGGACAGCAGAACTGGCTCGGCAATTAAGGGCCATGCATGCTCACCCAGAGGACCAGGGTTTGATTTCTAGTGTCCACATGTTGGCTCACCACTGTCTGTAACTCCAGTCCCTGAAGAACTGGTATCCTCTTCTGGCCTACTTTGGCACTGGGCATGTACACGGGGCACAGACATACACGCAGGATAAAACATTCATTCATAAAATAAAAATAAATCTTGAGGGGCTGGAAAGATGGCTCAGTGGTTAAGAGCACTGCCTGCTCTTCCAAAGGTCCTGAGTTCAATTCCCAGCAACCCCATGGTGGCTCACAACCATCTGTAATGAGATCTGGTGCCTTCTTCTGGCCTGGGGGCATGCATGCAGGCAATGTGTACATAAAAAATAAATAAATCGTTAAAAATAAATAAATAAATCTTGAAAAAAAAATTGAGATGCTAGGTGTCTTGGTACATGCCCTTAGTCCCAGCTCTTGGGAGGCAGAGGCAGGTGAGTTCAAGGTTAGCCTGGTCTACAGAGCGAATTTCAGCCCAGCAAGGTCTATAGTCTCTCAAAACAAAAATAAAATACCTTCCCCTAAAAAGATGAGGTGTAGAGACAGACAGAGCATTGTGGCTCAAGCACTGAGCTGGATTACAGGCATGATCCTCACCTCTGGACAGCATCTTCCTGGGGACCTTTTCTTTGCTTTTGTCCTTGTCTTCCTTTTCAGAGACATCCTTTGTGGACTTTTCTTCCTCCTTGTCAGAGGGGCAGCTGATGTGCAACTGAATTATATCCTTAAATAAAAGGAAAGTGGCACATAATCAAAGAAGGGAAAAAGATTTAAACTTTTTGGTGAGTGTGGAGAAAATGGCTCAGCTTAATAAAAAGCACTTGTTGTGCTGGCAGAGGACATGAGTGCACTTCCCAGCACCCATATGGTGGCTCATAACTATCTGTAACTCCAGATTCAGGGGTTTGATGCCCTCTTCTGACGTCTGTGGACCTGCACATGATGCACAGACATATATTTAAGCAAAACATTCATTCATATAAAATAAATATTTGTTTGCTTTGTTTTTTGAGATAGGGTTCTCTGTATAAACAGCTCTGGCTGTCCTGGAACTCACTCTGTAGAGCAGGCTGGCCTCCAACTCAGAGATCCACCTGCCTCTGCCTCCCAAGTGTTGGGATTAAAGGTGTGAGCCACCACCTGGCTAATAAATCTTTTTTAAAATAATAAACTTTGTGTTTCCCTCAAAATTCCAATGAAAGCAAATCTTTTTTTTTTTTTTTTTTTTTTTAAAGATACGCATACAACATTCTGCTTCCATGTATATCTGCACACCAGAAGAGGGCACCAGATCTCATAACAGATGGTTGTGAGCCACCATGTGGTTGCTGGGAATTGAACTCAAGACCTCTGGAAGAGCAGTCAGTGCTCTTAACCTCTGAGCCATCTCTCCAGCCCGAAAGCAAATCTTGAGATGGCTGCTTTATCTTTTCTTTCTTTTTGTGTATGTGTGCACAGAGTGTGTTTGTGTTTCAGTATGGCGTATGTGTGCCATAATATATTTATGGGAGGTCTTTTGTAGAATAATGTTTTTGGACACTGTGAAGATGTGTCACTCTGTTATTGATTAATAAAAGCTGAACAGCCAATAGATAGGCACAGAGGACACTGGGAAGAAGAAAGGCAGAGACACCTCTGCCACCAGATGCAGAGGAAACATGACATGTACAAGATGAGGTAACAAGCCACAAGCTTCATCTCAGCACATAAATAAATAGAAATGGGTTAAGTTATAAGAGCTAGTTAGAAACCAGCCTAAGCTATCGGCCAAGCTTTCATAATTAATAAGGCTGCATGTCATTTTTTGTGAGCTGGCAGCCCAAAAGAAAAGTCTGTCTTCAGAGGTCAGAGACCCTGGCTTGAGACAGGCTCTCTTGTGTGTTGTGGTGTGTCCTATGCTTCCTGGGTAGCACTGAGCTCCCAGAGATTCTTCAGTCTTTGCCTCTCATCTCACCCTAAGAACATTTATAATGGGCATATGAACTCAGGTCCTCATACTTGCATGGCAAGGTTTCAGCCACTATGGTGGTTTGAATAAAGACGGACACCATAGGCTTATATAATTGAGTATTTAGTCACTATGGAGTGACTCTATTTGAAAAGATTAGGTGTAACCTTGTTGGAAGAAGTATCTGGGGGTGGGCTCTGAGGTTTCAAAAGCCCAGGACAGGCCCAGAGGCTCTCTTCCTGCTGCCTATGGATCCAGATGTAAAACTCTTATTTTACATCTATACTCTCAGCTATACCATACTCCCTGCCATGATGACAATGGACTAACTCTCAGCTATACCATACTCCCTGCCATGATGACAATGGACTAATCCTGTAAACTGTAAGCCAGTCCCAATTAAATGTTTTCCTTATAAGAGCTGCTGTGGTCATGGTGTCTCTTCCCAGCAACAGACACTGATTGAGATATCTACTGAGTCATCCTCCCAGCCCCAAATTTATCTTATAGAAGAGTGCACGTTACTCAAGAGGAAGAGGCAGGTGGATCTCTGTGAGTTCGAGGCCAGTCTTGTCTACCGAGTGAGTTCCAGGACAGCCAGGGCTGCTACACAGAGTGACCCTGTCTCAAAACAAACAAAATACCCCAAAACAACAACAACAACAACAACAACAACAACAACAAATAAGAGTGTATGTTGTTAGTTACTTTGGGCAACCTTTCTCTGTCAGAAATCACAGCTGAAGCTACACTGGCTGTCCTTGTAAGAACTGGATGGTAATGGTACATCATGGTAGAAGGAAGTGGCTGGGAACAATTCAGCCCTGGATCCTCTGCCACATGCCACATGAGCAAGAAATTAAAACTCAAATCACCACTGTTAGCATGTAGTACCAGAGAGCTTTTCCTTTATGAGGTATCTACTTGCATTTTTATGCACACTGGTGTTTTGCCTGCATGCATGCCTGTGAGGGCATAGGAATCTCAGGAACTGGAGTTACAGGCAGTTGTGGATTGTCAGGTGGTTGCTGGTAACCGAAACAGGATCCTCTAGACAAACAGCCAGTGCTCTTATTCGCTGAGCCATCTCTCCAGCCCCTAAGAGCTTTTCTTTAAAGTGCCCTTTCATGCAAGTCTTGGTGATGCAGGTCTGTAATTCTAGCACCTGGGAGGTCGAGACTGGAGTATCAAAATCATCTCTGGCTACATAAAGAGTTTAAGGCTAACCCTGAAATACATAAGACCCTGTCTCAAAACAAAACAACATACTTTCTTCCTTGATTTCTAGGTCCGAAGTCCATGTTGTGATTGCTCTAATGCTTTACCCAACAATTGCCATGTTCAAAATGGCAACACTTAGGCTTGTAAAAGACCTACCTGGGTGTCTAGTGGCCCATCAGCAAATGGAGTGGAGGATTCCTCACACACCGCCAGACTGCGTACCAACTTGAGCTTGGAATTGGACTAAAATACAAAACAAACATCAAAAATACATCTCATATAGATTCCTTTGGTAAATATTTAGAAAATATCTTCTTAGACTCTGTCAGCTGAAGCTGCAGTTTTTATTAAGTAGTGTTGTTATTATTTTTTTTTTAAATAGGTTATAATTTTGAAACTCTGGCTGTCCTGGAATTACTATATAGACGAGGCTGGCACGGGGAGAATTTGGTAAATATTAAAACTCATATAAACAGCCCAGTACATACACCCTCAGGCTCTGTGAGTCCTCTCAGGGGTCCTCTCAGGCACAAATACAGACTGGGGGAGGGACTGGAGCTGGACTTCCCAGGAGAAAATGTATGTAAGTGTGCATGCTACAGCCAAGCGGTGGCACACGCCTTCCCAGCATTTGGAAGACAGTGGCAGGGGGATCTCTGAGTTTGAGGCCAGCCTGGTCTACAGACCGAGTTCCAGGGCAGCCAGGGCTACACAGAGAAACCCTGTCTCAACAAACAAACAAAAAAGTACATGTGACTATGTTCACACAGTGTATGAAAGACATTCATTACTGAGATACAAAAGGCAGACAAGAAAGCTTTGCCTATATGTAATGTGAGTAACCTAGATACTATTGAAACACACTTATGAAATGTGAAACGAATGAAGTTACAAAGTAAGAGATGGAAGAAGAGCTCTCACCTTGGCTCTTTTCCTGGCATGACCATGGCTGGATGTCCGTCTCTGTTAGAAAAGAATTAAAAAATAGGAAAGGTGGGAGAACTCAATACTGTAAGATATGCACTTTATCAACAACACACTAATTATTGACTGGATTTAACTGCCATCACACTATGGTGAAAATCACTTGGTTTAGCTGTTGTATGATCTCAATTCCAGCAACTGGCACACAGAGGGATCTTGCAGTATCTACTCTCAGAGAACCATTCCCCATGAAACAAAGACTAAGAAGATAGATAACAATGTCCTGGATTATTCTGCATACTAAAAAAAGTCTCAGACAATCATGGAATCCTCTCCCGACTGTGTGCATTACCAAAGCATCAAGGATTTCTTCTCATAAGCTTGCTCACAGAAGTCTACTTAATCCATAGTGGAAATGAAGTATGATTCCTCATTTTCATTTCCTATCTCTCTCTCATTTTGAGAGAGTCTTGTGTATCCTGGCCTTGAACTACTGGCATCCATTATCACGCCTGGTTTATGTAGCCCTGGAGATTAAATTTAGGACTATACACATGTTAGTCAGGCCCTCTACTAAATGGCCTGACTAGTTCCTTCCCTTTGTTTCTTTTTTGACAGGGTCTCACTAAGTAGTCTAGGTTACCCCTGAATTTCAATCATCCTGCCTCAACCTTCCCAGCACAGGAATTATAGGTGTGTGCAACTATACCCAGGTATAACAACATTTTTATTTCTTAAAATGTTTTAATTTGTCGGACAGTGGTGGCGAATGCCTTCAAACCCAGCCCTTGGGAAGCAACAGCAGGTGGATCTATGTGAGTTCAAGGCCAGCCTGGTCTAGAGTTGAGTTCCAGAAAAGGCTCCAAAGCTACAGAGAAACACTGTCTCGAAACATGCCCCTCCCCAAAATGTTTTAATTTTATTTTTTATGCTTATAGGTATTTTTCCTCCATGTATGTCTGTGTGTCCCCTGTGCATGGGCACCAGGAGACCAGGAGAGAGCATCTGACCTCTTGGAACTGGAGTTGCAGACACTCATGAGCCGCCATGTGGGTTCTGAAAATCAAACCTGGGACCTGGAAAGTCAACCAGTGCTCTTAAGTGCTAAGCTGTCTGTTTCTCCAGCTCCAATAACATTGTAAAAATTACATTTGTGTGTGATTTGTGGATTTCAGGGATCAAAATCAGGACATCAGGCTTGGCCATAAGTACCTTCACCAACAAGTACCTTACCTTTAGCCAGCTAAGCCATCTCCTGGCCCCTATAACATATTTATAAGACAACACATCTAGAGTTCTAATTTGATATGCCCAGCACATCTGTTCCTATAGCTGCAGAAATGGAATGGAGAGTCTTTCTTCCAAATGTATCTCCCTGCCCTGTTTTTGTTTTTATGCGACAGGGTCTCTACATGGCCCTGGCTGTCCTAGAACTCATCATGTAGACTAAGGAGGTGTTGTACTCAGAGACCCATCCCCGGCCCCCTGAGCAATGCTTCCCTTCTTAAAACAAGAGTGCTCTCCTAGCCCTATGCCTCCCAGCAGTGGTCTGATAGCCACTTTGGGTAAGAAACGTGGTATAAGACAGGATAAAAAGCAAAGAGCATGGGAGATAGGGATAAGTGCTCCAGAATAAGGAGGCTGTGGATGTGAGCATGGCATCAGCTAAAGAGGATGAAGGAGGATGTTGGAGGCAGGTGTGGCAAACAACTAGTCCATACTTGCTAAGATTCCTGAACATGGGAGTAGTCATTGCGAGGGCTCTGAGGAGGGGCTAGGGTAAAGGAAAAGCTGAGGCTGGAAGATGGGGAGGTTAGACAGGCAGAGGCAGATTATCAGCATGGTCTTGGTGAGGTTAGGGTTTCTCTTCTCTTTGTCCAATGTACAAGTTAAACAAACAACTATGCCACAGTACAACTGGAGAACTGGGGAGGTGGATGGAAAAGGGTAAGAAACAATGGTAGAACTGGTCAGTGGCAAGACCTGTAGCAACGAGGAAGGATGAGTAATCCAAAAATACAGCGCAGTATGTTTCACTGCCTTTTCAAACAGATAATGACACAAATGACACAAACATTCAAAAGGTATAACAGAGTTAAATATTGGGTACTTTCATATTTGTCCTACAAATACTTGACCAGGTTCCTTCCCAAATAGTCTATCAGTTCTGTTTTCCCCCCAAAGATTTATTTATTTATTTATTTATTTATTATGTGTACAGTGTTTGGCACCAAATCTCATTATAGATGGTTATGAACCACCATGTGGTTGCTGGGAATTGAACTCAGGACCTTTAGAAGAGCAAGCAGTGCTCTTAACTGCTGAGCCATCTCTCCAGCCCCCAGTTCTGTTTCTTTTAAATTTATCTATAGACTTTTATGCATATAAGCTTGCCATAAATATATACACTGAAAAATCAATTATATACATGACTCTGAACTTTATGATTAAACTTATTTTCACAAATATCATTCCACAGAATGATATTTATATATATATAATATATACATTATATATATATATAATATATATATATCCATATCCCATTGCATGGCTATGCTACAGTTTATTTTTACCAATATCTACAATTATATATATAAAATATATATCATTTGAATATTTCATTCTTGGTTTTTCTGAGACAGGGTTTCTCTCTGTAATAGTTCTGGCTGTCCTGGAACTTACTTTGTGGACCAGGCTGGCCTTGAATTCACCAAGATCCACCTGAATCTGCCTCCCAAGCTCTGGGATTAAAGGTGTATGCCACCACAGCTTGGGTGATGCTTCTAATTTTTACTAGTATAAACAGTGACCATGTCACTGAGTCTATCCATTAATATAGGAGACCTATGGTCTATTTTACAATCTTTATAAAGTGTTGCTAAACTGCCCTTCAACGTGTGTAAATGTCTACCTCTACAATAATGTATGAATCTACATACTTCCCACGTTGATAATTTTCACTTAACAGCCAAACCAGGTTAAAGCCAACACATATCAAGTACCAGGCAGAGAAGGCATATACACAATCATGCTTTCCTCAAACTTCCAACTCTCATTTAAAATAGGGAGAAGTAAACAGATAATACTGAAGCACAAAATGCTAGAAGCAATGGCTGAAGTTAAAGGACTAAATCACGTGATGGAGAGTATGAGACCCAGACTCAGGCAGTAAGACACACAGAAAGCTTGAAGAGAATTAACATAATCAGTTCCTTATTTCACAGTCATTTTACTAAAGCAGCAGAACAGAGGAACCCAAGGAATTACTAATATGAAGGCAGGAAGTCTAATCAGGAGACCATACTCAGCTACTTATTAACACGGCACACTTGAGTTCAGTATGTGTTGACATGGTAACTTGCCCATTCCAAAAAAGAATCTTAGAGCCTGCATTTTGTGCCACTAAATCGCCCTGTAAAATCTGCTCTGAATCCCAATAATCAATTCCCAAAATGGTCCAAGCAAAAAAGTCGCCTCTCTTGCAAACTTTTTAGCTCCAACTCAGAACTGGGACTTCGTTGACAGCAGAAGTAAGAGGGAGAGAAGCTGCAGCAGAGAGGAAGATGAACAAGAGCTCCAACAGACGGCAGCAGCTTTACCTCCTCTGGGGGGGGAGCAATAGGAGCCAGGTGAGAGGGGGAGCAGGTCTTCTCCAACCCTACCTACAAACTATTTGTATGCTGAGACAGATATTTTTTTTAACCAGATGAATGCCTCATAGAAAATATAAAACCTAAAATGTTCTTTCTTTACTGTCTATCTTTAAGACATGCACACAAGAGTTCAAAAGATAACCGTCTCCTAAAAATGAGTATGTAGGGGAAGCTGTAGCCACGCCTACTTAGGGGCTGGCTACAGGTATGCCTGACCACGCTTTCGAGGGCGTGGTCAGGGTAACTTAGAGTGACTTCGTTTTCTCTTTCGGTTTCACTTTGGTACTTGCTGGACA